GAGAGAGAGAGAGAGAGAGAGAGAGAGAGAGAGAGAGAGAGAGCAAGTACACATCAAGTCACATTAACAAACTTTAGATATTTGGTTGAGAGAGCTTCAATATTTTAAAAACATTCATATGAATACAGCTGTGTTCAACTTGAAACAGGAAACACTTTATAAACAAAACAAACAAACAAAGCCATGTTGAAATAAAATAAAATGTAGAGTAGTGCACATCAAAAATCTGTATATATACAAAGATCACAAAGTTTGCATAGTTCCAATTTATTTCACCCCAACTTGCCATTCATTTACATGTTAATGGTTTAATTTTGCTGTGACAATCTTGTGGAGATTGTTTAATGCAGCTTGTTTGAACAGGGATTTTGTGGACATTTTTTTCTCTCCAAATGTGAGACCATTTGAGAAGTGTAGCGAGCCAGCCAGACAGTCCATCAACCTGCTTACATTACCAAAGGGTGAAAAGGGCAGAGGATCAAGTCAGATTACTACTCCAGACTAATTTAGCTGGAAAAAAAAAGCCTTTTGTAACGTCAAGTAGTCTCCCATAGAAATCAACCGGCGATTTATTGTCAAGATTTTTTAAATGTACATGCCGGAATCTTTCATATTTAGAGGAATTGTAGCGATGTGATGCAGCAGTTAAAAGCATTGGACACCTCTAGTTTGAATGTTTATGCAACGTCAAGATTAATTTGGATTTGAATTTGATATTTATAGAAAAGATTGGTCAGTTTATTATCAGCTGATGTCCGTGGCAATCATGAAAGTTGAGGTTGAACTTATGACCTACAAACTTTCAATCACTATTCAAATTTGGGAAAACATGTTGATGATTTTCTCCAAAAGGTTATTGGAAACAAGGTTGTATGAATGATGACACTTGTTAGGGTTTCCGTTGAAGTTATTCTGTTAGTTATTATTGTGCTAGTATCTATCACTTTACAGTCATTTAAATGCAATACAAATAGAATTCAAATAAATGTTATTGACAAATCAACACCCAGTTTTATTCAATATAGACTGATCATAACATTATAAAGTATGCAAGGGTATTTTTACAACAATCTATAACTATAAACAATTAATCTCTTTGAGGACCATTATAGCTTAATGTTGAATATTACATACATGCATCAAGTTCTTTACATACCTGGTACATCAAAGGAAAATTGATCTTTGATACATGATTTTTTCATCATAATCTTCGCTCCTGTGTGTTAAAATACGTAGCTATATTTATAATTGTCATTTTCCTTGAATTGCTTCAGTGAGAGACAAACCCTGTACTACCTAAAATGCTTGTTACATAAAAATTAAATTGTTTAAAAAGGATTACCGGTACTGCACTTGCATTGCGTTACGATGTAAATGATATGATAGCTTTTGGTTTTGGGTGAGAGGGGAGGGGGAGGGGTGGGGGGGGGGGGTTAGGGTGTTTGGTTGTCCTATATAGAGCAGCTATCTAAAGGTTGTTGTACATGGAGTGATATAATCCAGGGTTAGTTGTCCTTAAATTTCAGAAATAATTTCCTGAAAGTTTTATGAAAAGAACTGTATGTGATGTATGCCATGTTCATATCTACTGTAGATAATCCCTCATAACCATAGAGGGCACATCAGTGGTTGTGTGTTGTGCATGTGTTGGAAACTATAAATTTATTGCACTGTCTTCATACTCTAAATTATACTATACAGACAAGCAAAGCAAAATAAGGAAAATTTTCTGATAATGTCCTAGTCTGATAAATCTTTGTCACGTCATTGCTGAGATGATCAACCCTGTCCCAGTTCATGAAACAGAATGTGTTTCCAGGTTCCTCTTGACACCTCCATGACTCTAAGACTCTTCCCCAACCCCCTCGTGTGTCAGGGATGTGAAAGTTAACTTGATGACCCGTTGGTTCCTCTGAGAGTACTCTCTGCACAGGTGAGTCTCCCTGTAGGCTCCACAGTAGAATGCTAAACACACCTTCAGAAGCTCGCTGTTTTTGTCTCTCATGTAATAAACATAAAGTCAAACCATAAAGGGACATAAAATAAGTCTTGTATTGTGACCTACGAGGCTTCTAACTCCTCACCAAGTTTGCTCACTACTTGAGGATGCGATGCGGAAGGTCCCGGGCTTGGTCCCTAGAGGGAGCTCTACTGCCCTGCCATGTAATGTAGACAGGCATGCCACGCATGACTACCGTTACAAGTTTGATAATTCATCTCCTTCAAGTTGAATTGGTGCATGACCCGTTGGACTAGCTAGCTCTCTCTAGCTAGGTTGAATGCTGGTATGTGCTAGAGAGACATGGAGTGTGTTGTTTTTCAGCCTAATGTTACCCTTGGGTATACCTGGTGTTAAGATTGATATAAAGCCATACAGGCAGGCTTCTCTTCATGATGGTGTCTTGCACATGATCTTATTCTTCTCCATACCTCTACACTCTGCTTGCATCCTCATTGCACTTCATAAACCCTGTTCACACACCACTGGCTAAAATGTCTATGAAAACAAACCTTTCATGCTAAAATGAAACAACATAATGTAATGCACTTCCTATTTTGGTATCTCATGATAGCACATAGAACAGTATGCTTAATAGGGACCCTAGCTTATTGTGTGCTGCTACTGTTTTTGACCCTATCTGCTATTTATTGTCATGTTGAATGGTGTTTATATTAAAGGAAATTTACAACTTCCAGTGTGAACAACAGGATTTTAGTGTCTAAAGCAGTACCTTGCATGAAAGAAGTGAAATATGCCTATTATCTTCATCATGTTTCATGATAAATCACTATCATTTCCTGTATTATCACTACACTGCAAAGATAATTTAGTCTTATTCTTCACATAATTTTCTTTCTCACTTAAATCTTCAAAAGCATATTCTTTAACAAAAACAAAAAGGTTCATGTCATGCCACTAATTATGGTCCATTGCATTATTCTGTCACTGTTTTTTAAACATGGGTGCTTCTTCCTTCTTTTATATCTTTATAAACTTTTGTATCTTTTTCAATATCTGGTTCTCCTCGTCTGTTTTATATTCTTCAACCAAGCTCCCAAAATATCTTTTCTGTCTCTACACATTCATCTATTCTTTCTGTACTTTTCTAAACATCATCAGATACTTTCTTTATATCCTTTCAACTCATCCATCTTCATTTGACTTCTCTGTTCTTCACATTTTTCTTTTAATTTTACTATTTTCATGCTTTATCTTCTCTGTTCTTTCTCCTCTTCTTTCTCCTCTTCCTCTCCTCTTCCTCTCTGTTCTACTTATCATGCATTCTCCATCCTCCATTTTCTGTTTTTCCTTTCCTTCCTCATTCTTTTTTCACATCTTCCTCGCATCCATCTCTCTCCCTCCTCCTCCTCCTTTCACTCTGTCGAGCAATCCCATCCAGCACTCTCATCCTAGCTTGGTTGGGGTAGGAGAGAGAGAGAGATATATCAAACTATTCTTCACGGCTCATCACCCAAGAAGAAAGTGCACTCCACTGACGCGTGAGCCCAACAATTTGGGAAGCTGCTTCGTATTTTCCACTTGGCTACTCCTCCAAATAAGTTGCAGGTAGTTCCAAGTTCAGGCTGCTTATTCAATCATCTCGCTTGCCTGGTCTTCTTTCTCATTAGCACCTCTTCCTGTATACCATCACCTTTACCTATACATGGGACCATAGGAAGTGATGAACACCCTCGATCGGGTTGAAACCCTTCTCTCCTTCGACCTTGGTTCAACACTTATGGAATAGCAGTGCTTTCTCAAGAGAGAACTTCAAACAAATTATTATTATCAGTAGGGTAGATTTTATCTCTTGTTTGGGGTGCCAAAACATATCTTATTAGCTGGTTGTATACCTAACCGGACCGAATCTCTTGTCATATATGTCTGCCCATCACTGGTAATAGAAACGGTGATTGTGCATTGAAGAATAAGAAACATTATGTCTGGATGAGAAGAGGAGACAGACTTGAGCCAAAGCACTTCTTACCATGTACACCAAGCATATACTGGGTCATATAAGAGTTTGAATTGGGAATATAAACAATGGACAGAATACATTTGTAAAAAGTAAAACACACACACAAGCTGACTCAAGTTCATCTTATTCTTTGGACACTAGAGAGATTTATTGAGGTTGAAGTAGCAAGATTAGTTTTAATGATTTCTATTCTATTGATCTGATGATTCATGTACAGGCCCTCCCACATATTTTCCTAATGTTTTCTCCTCCATGACCTAATAATATTCTGTTCTTATATAGCGTATATCACATTATGTTGTAACGTCTCTGTGCACTTTTAAAGGACTTTGGAAATTATTACCCCAGTTTCATAAGATTATTGCTAACGTTTTCTTTTATTGGTAGACGAATATGAATATAAAGTTGGCTACAGTTTTTTTCCAAATCATTCTTCAGTCTTCATATCAGTGAACTGCTTTTACATTTTCTTTAATTTGGAGAATAGACACTCAAATTTCCTCCCCTCATTTAAATCAAGCAATATAAAATAGTTTGTCTTATTCTCAAACCTAAATGTAAACTTTGTAAACTCTGTAAACTTATTTTACTACGTACACACTTATCAGTATTTGGTTACTTGTATAATTCATTTGTTCTATTATATATTGTAATACTGTATGGTTTATATATGTCATTTTAATTTGTGGATATTTGAGTGGAAAATAAATTTTAAAAAATAAAAAAAAATCAACCTTTGATTAGATATCCTCTCATGAATTATCTGATCATTATCACTTAATCTGACTTTCTTTTCATATCCTTCTCTTGTATATCAAGAAACACATTAACTTGTATTCTTCTACTCCACATTGTCTGCTGTTAGATGGTTAGGCATTTACTGATCATTTATTGTATCAGTTTCCAAAGAGGTAATATTTTACCCAATCAGACTCTCAGCAGATGAACAAGTTCTGGTATTTCAGCGAACACAGACCTTTAACAAGTATTGTTTCCTCTCTTTGTGTTTTATCATTACAGAGAATCTAGACCCTGATGTAAAGCAGAGAGTAGTGGTTATCACAGCTAGAGTACATCCAGGAGAAACACCAGCTTCATACGTCTGTCAAGGTATTCATTAAATAGCTTTTTTTAAATGTTATATACTTGAAAAGTATGCTTAAAAAGCATTGGCTGCACTTGTAATTTGCTTTTAAGTAGTGATACATACATTGGAAAGTTTCATGTAAGATGAATAATGATGTAGTTTTGATTTTCAAGAGGTCAATTGATTTGAAAATGTATCATATAATCATAAAAGTAACTTCTTTCATTTTGAGAATCTGTGCATAGTAACAATATTTGATAGACTTTATGTGCCCACATATCATAATAAAACAAAGACCCCCCTCCCCCCTCCCTTGTATCATGCACTTGTGGGAAAGTCTATGTTAGGGCATGGTTAGGGTTGTTTGTAGAGGAATAATGTGCTCAGATAACATCAAAACACAAAAATAAATAAAGAAATTCTAGTATTATCCTTTTGAATGTATTAACATTGTGAATGTATCCCGACTCTATGTGAAGGTTAAATTAGTTAGTTATCAGACTATTATGGGTGAACACAAAGCTTGCATGCAGTTAAAAAACAGGATGGAAGCTTTGTGGAAAATATTGCAGTCACTTTCTGTTAATTCTTGATGAGTATAAATGGCCTTGATCTGGCAAACATAGCTGATATGACTAGAGAGTGTGAGAGGATTAATACTTGTATTGTCTTCTAATCAATTATTCATTGCTGTCTGTGGTGGAGAGAATGCTCATAGGCGGGAAACTCTTCATCTTTCCAGCGCATGCTAGGGCTTTACACATGTCAATCATAATAAGGCAAATAGTACATTGTTAGAAAAAAAAGAGAAAGGGAAAGAAGTTTAATAAAGAAAATCATTCACTGTGTCAATAGACAAAAGGGACAAAGACAATATATGATACAGAGAGGGGGTGAGAGATAGATAGATAGAGAGACAGAGAGAGAGAGGAGAGGGAGAGAGAGGGAGGGAGAGAGAGAGAGAGAGAGAGAGAGAGAGGAGAGAGAGAGAGAGAGAGAGATGGAGAGACAGAGAGAGAGAGAGAGAGAGAGAGAAAGAGAGAGAGAGAAAAAAGAAAGATGCATGAACCAACAAGTGGGGAGATACCGGTATATGAGGTGAGACAATGGGGAGTAATGGAAGGAAGATAGAGGGAGATGAGGGGATCGAGAGAGAAAGAGAAAAGGGAACAATGAAAGAGATTGTTGACATTGGTATTAATTGATTCAACATTCTATTTCTGTTTTCATTTCCTCTTCATACGTCAAATCTATTAACAAATCTCTATATCTTCCTCTTTTGCAAATTTGTACATGCATATGAAACACAATCTGTGAAATATAAAGAATTGTATTAATTTCTCATTAACTTTCACCACTAGAAATATGTGCTTGGTTGATAGTTTTATTTAATAGATTATCTTTATGAGGCAAGGATGGATATATGTGTGCATGTAAGTGAGAAAGAGATGAGGATACATAATGATGAGGATAGTAGATGTGAGAGGAAATGATGTAGATATAGAGGGGTCATATTGTGATTGGCATGGGTTAGAAATCAATTAGAAAGACCACATGAAACAAGGGAAGTTGAGCGTTTCATCCATAAATCTAATTGCCATTTGACCTTCTGCTTTAGGAGTAACATTAGTGTAACGTTTCACTGGTGATGGGCTATTCCAATGTATCAATTCTCTGACTCATATCATCTGTTCTAATTAGCTACTATCTATTTATATTATAGGATACAAAAATATGATGAGTCACCTCATAAGACCTTCAATAGTCATTTTAATAGCTAGATGACTTTAGGAACTTTTTATGAAGTTCATAATAAAAAAAAGTACATGACGTGTGAATATTGTGCTGGTGTGATTGTTTTATGATACCGGATGTGATTGGAAGTCTGAGCAATTAGACTTAGTCATCAAGTATGGAGTTAAGCTATCAATCATAAGACAATGAGAAATGAAAGATTTAATACTTTCACTGCTCTACATGACAAATCTCAAACACACATAAACAAACCTGTAAATATTGTATGGGTTCTTTCTGTTTATTGTTTTACTATCTGTTATAGCTTTTAAATAACTTCAAAGACAAAAACTAAATTATGAAAGCAGTCAGATTTTTGAAAGACAGGGGGATCCTGCCCTCAAGTATTTTGCCATGCTGTCATTATGTTACATATATACTTATTGCGTTCACTTTGTTTTAAAATGAAAAGTGAAGGAATTAAATTGAATGGAATATCTGTTATTGTGGAATGTACTACAAGTATTGTTTCAAAGTTGGTCTGAGAAATATCAGTAGAGTGGTCATCATGCCATATATTTACCTCATAATTGTGATTTTTCTTTCAGGTTTGCTAGATTTCTTGTTAAGCCAGCACCCTGTAGCCAAGGTATTGCGTGATCACATTGTGTTCAAAGTGGTTCCTATGCTCAATCCAGATGGTGTCTACCTAGGGAACTACAGGTTAGTATGACCCCTCCCTCTCCCTCTCCCCCCCCCCCCCCCCCCCCCCCCCCATTCCCCCTCCCCCTCCCACTCCCCCCTCCCCCCTCCCACTCCCCCTCCCCCTCCCCCTCTGATATATATAAAGTCAAATTACGTGAATGCGAAGAAGAAGATAGCAGCAAGAACTATAAATGTAAATGTAACTTTCAGCTCACTGACCCTCTTCTAAGCCGACAGAAAGAGTTTGTGCTGACTCGCCTGTTATTCTGGCTAGCATTGCTATAACCCCTTATCATTACTTGGCTGGCATAACGTCTACTTTCTGGCAGCGAGTCACAGCCCATTATGTTGTTCATGCTTTGTTCGTTTAGGTTCTGTTTATACTGTCTGATTTTGGCTTTTGTTCTTGCAATTTAGTCTGATGAGTGCAGGTTGAAAAGCTGTCTGTATTCGTTGCTTTTGTTAAATGTAAATTTGCATGATGTTTTTAAAACTTCTTTAGCTGAATGTACTATAGCAAATTGATTTGATGAAAAACAATTTTAATGAAACTTGTAATGAAACAGAAGTGTCTACTCATGTGAGTTTTTTTCTTCTTTCTGTAAAGCACTTTGAGAGGGCCTGCGGTCCTGAGAAGCGCTATATAAGAACAAATTATTATTATTATTATTATCATCATCATCATCATCATCATCATCATCATCATCATCATCATTATTGTATGAGAATGGTACACAATCCCACTCCTCTTCCAGACCAGTTTCTTACAATGTGAAAACTCTTTCCATTTGTAGTTCTTGCAGACATCTTTTTCTTCTCATTCATGTAACATTAGTCATGAGAGGAGTTGTACTTTTTACAGTATTCTATAGACTAGACAAACTTGTTGAAATATTCATGAGATGAGTTTGTTGAGGTGTGTAAGTCTATCCCCACACCCTGTGATGTATGTAGAGAACCGAATGTGATCTGTGTACTTAAAACATGGTTGGATGCCAACAAAAACTCATCAATTGGTTTGGTATTAGATAGACTGGAAGTAAGAAAAAGAATGTTTGAAAAGTACAGACACATTCAGCCAGTACAATCAATTACTTTTATGAAGCACTTGGGATGACTACATAAGGCATAAATTGTGATGAACTTCTAAGAAGTGCAGAAATCATCTTGAATATTAAACGCTTTTGATGTTGCATTTTCAACATTCCTTCCCCTTTAGACTAATTAAATGCCATTAAAATTATTAATTTAGTTCATCTTGTACCTCTGTAGTCTGATTCTATACATTCTCTTTATTAATGATGTAATATGCCACATACCCTTGGTAGTCGCTGTGCATAACAGTGTCTGCACTTTGAGATGAGGCTGATGGTTAAATGCATAGGCTCTGTACTTAAGCTGCTCCAGACAGAGACTGACAGAGCTAGGCTCTGCTCTATGTTTTGGGAATTGTGATAAAGTGTCAAATGATAGTCTGTGCCTGCAGACTACACATGTACGGTACATCTATAATTATATGCTCTTAGTTTAATGCTTTAGGTTCAATATGTAAATGTTGTATAGATAAATTTTTGTCACAAAAATTGCATTTGCATTTATTTGTATGTATAGCACCATGAGCATCATGCCTGACGGACCTGGGGGGTGTTTCACAAAACTTGTCATCAATGACAAATGACAGCTTTTGTTATAAGCTACTGAAATCCTTGCTTCTGATTGGTTATCAGCAGATTTGTAAATGATTTTTGTCATTTGTCATTGAAAAAAGGCTTTGTAAGAAGCCACTTTTACACTTACAATAAGTTTAATTGTATGTTTTGTTTTTGTTTGTTTTGGATTGAGCTTAGCTTAGGCTTTTTTACTGTAATATTTTTATTGCATAAAAATTGCTAGATTTGTTATTTCTGTGTTTATTTTGTAGATGTTCATTGATGGGCTTTGATCTGAACAGACATTGGAATGAGCCATCTCCATGGGCTCATCCTACTCTACATGCTACCAAACAACTCCTAGTTGATATGAATGCTAACCCGGTATGTTAACAACTCCTAGTTGATATGAATGCTAACCCGGTATGTTAACAACTCCTAGTTGATATGAATGCTAATCCGGTATGTTAACAACTCCTAGTTGATATGAATGCTAACCCGGTATGTTAACAACTCCTAGTTGATATGAATGCTAACCCGGTATGTTAACAACTCCTAGTTGATATGAATGCTAACCCAGTATGTTAACAACTCCTAGTTGATATGAATGCTAACCCGGTATGTTAACAACTCCTAGTTAATATGAATGCTAACCCGGTATGTTAACAACTACTAGTTGATATGAGTGCTAACCCGGTATGTTAACTAGCTTGTTATGGTTTAGCCATCTAAATATACATTCTTTACAGAACCATCAAATATTAAACTTCCAAAAATCTTGCATTCTTATCACTTGCTTACTGAAAAATTGTTTAGGTTTAATAGCCTTTTCCATTTCAGCTCTCTACATGGACATTCCAGTACAAAGCTATCCAATATAATCTGCAAAAAATCTTGCATGAATGTCACCCATTTATCAGCATAAACATTCATGCTTCCGGCTATTTGTATGCTTTCTGGTACATTGATATCGTGGCTTCTGGGAGAATTAATAATTTTAAAATCTTCTCTTAGACTTCTAGTCAACCCAAATGATGACTTATGATGAAGTCATAATAGCGTCACTAACAATCTGAACACATTGCCTATGGGAGCCAGATAGTTCCTGTATTAAGCCTATATGAATTCGAGAATTCAACAGTCATCAGATTAAAGTGAAAAATCAAGACAAGTTTTAATTCTGAAAAGGTGTTATGATAATGCATCTAATGTACATGTATATTGCCTAGAAAGATAGCAGTCAATGCTATTCTTAATCCAAAGATCAATTAAATGTTTTCTTTTAATGGATATATAGTACTGACGTTTGTACTCTGTTTTTATCTTTTAATACAGAATATAGTGGTTGATTTCTACGTTGACATCCATGCTCACTCTACGTTGATGAATGGTTTTATGTATGGCAATGTATATGATGATCCAGTAAGATACGAGAAACAGGCCGTCTTTCCTAAACTAATGTGCTCCAACGCTGACGACTTTTCAATGGTAAGCTCTATACAAATGTATGCTTGATTTGAAATTTTAGTCATTTGCAATGGTCCCTTTACTCGATGGAGATGATTATGTTTTCCTTTTATGTACATTTCCTATGGGTTTTTCTCAATTTTTCTCATTATTTCACCATTAACACACACAGTTTTGAATGTTTTTAAGCACAAAGCAGATTTAAAAAATGCGTCCTGTCTTATAATTCATAATGATGATATAATGATGCTAAACCAATAATATTTTTTTGCATTTGAGGCATTTTTTCTTTCTTTTTAGTCTGTAGTTAGGGAGGGAAGAGGAGGAAGGGGGAAGAGGGGGAGGTGAAGGGAGCATATTCAAATGTTCATGGAAGTTTTCCATCATAATTGTGTGTGCTTCAAAATGACACAAAACCACACACCTTGTTGAAAACAGATATTGTTTCAATCATGTTGTATGTTCGGTGAGGTGAGTACAGATTTGCATACCTGAAACAATTATTTTATTATAAACATTTCAAAGTCTTATAACAAGATTTTTAAGGCAAATTTTTATGAAAGGTTTTTCTAACCTTGCAACACTCTAAGAATCAAGTTTCTTTGAAAGTCCTTTGCCATTGTGGCCATGCATGCCTCTGATATATTTTCTATTCTTACAAAGATAATCTGTGGTGTTATAGTATGATGTACTTTCTAAGCTCAGGAAGGGTTGAAGAAGGATGCTTAAGCTTTGAGATAAGAATAAGAGATTTGAAAGTTTTATTTCAAGATGTAGTGAAGGAATAATCACCTGTAGAGTTTGTGAGTATATGACCTTGACATTTGTACGCTCAGCGCTGGCTGGGCGGCGGGGCGGTGGGGAGCATGATGAAGGCATGAGTTGATTAAGAGAAACAAATCAGATTACAGGAATAGAACAAGAACCAGTCAGGTGGATACAATCAACAGAGATTGGAGATTGGGAGAATAGAATCATTGGGGGTAGGGAGAGGGAGAGAAGGAGGGAGAGGGATGGAGGGAGAGAGAGGGAGAGAGAGAGAGAGAGAGAGAGGAGATAGCGAGGGGAGGGGGAGGGATGGAGGGAGAGAGAGAGAGAGAGGGAGAGAGAAAGAGAGAGGAGACAGCAAGGGGAGAGGGAGGGGGAGGGAGGGAGGGAGGAGAGAGAGAGAGAGAGAGAGAGAGAGAGAGAGAGAGAGAGAGAGAAAGAGATAGAGAGAGAGAGAGTTAGAGAGTTAGAGAGTTAGAGAGAGGAGACACAGCGAGGAGAGGGGGAGAAAGAAGGGGCTTGTACTATTCTGGAAAAGAAAATATAGAGAGAGAGAGGGAAGAAAAAAACAAGGTAACAACAAAAAACATTGTGATGAAGAAAAAGTTTGATTTTAGAGTTTGATTGAATAGTACATACTTTGAGCCAGTCTGATGCAGGAGAAAGCATCTCACATGAATAGAAGGTATTTAACAGACAGGTAAAGAGGAAAAGAAATGAAGAATATTCAGTTTACTTTAAAGAATATACTTATGTGAATCTAGTGACTACGAAAGAGAGAAAAGTGATGTCATGAGACATATAGACTTCAACACCAAGAATTAAAAACCATTGTAGAGAAAAAAAATTGAAGAAAGTAGAAAAAGGGTCTTTATGGAGATATAGAAGTTTGATTTGAGTATGGATGAAGAGATGGGTCCAAGGTTATGGAGGGGTCTTGCGTGGGCCACATTTAGCAATGGCTAATTAGGATTCAGTGCTTCCTTCACTATGCATCCTGAGGGCTATCCTCGGCCTGGCACACCGGCCGCCGCCACCGGTCGATCCTTATGAATATGCATGAGAGGCATACTGATCGACGTCACGGCTGAGATCAGTTTGACTCATTGGATGTGATTTGTACGTCTGGTTGCGTTAGCTCCCGTCCCCCTCACAGTCATAGCTCCCGTCCCTCTTACAGTCATAGCCAAAAGTTTAAGGTCGTGTCTATTCGAGCATAAATGTACACCTCATGCGAGTCTAGCAATCCTTGATGCATTCCAAGTATTACATAGCATTGATGGTAGGTGAAGATCTTACCTTCAAAGTACCCCCTTCAGATGACGATGATGACAGATAGCTATGGTGCTCACTCATTTCAAAGCTTTTCCATCTTATTGCATAATTCATGAAAAGTTTACCTTTCCTTATGATGACTCATAAGATTCAAGTAGAAGGTGGTTTGTTCGCTGAGGTGTAAATTTCCTAAAGTGAGTGTCGATGCTAGAATCTACCTCTCCATCTCATCTAGATTCTCACATTTTTTTCTCCTTCTCCTTTTTGTTTGTCTTAGAAGAAAAGTTGGTGCGTATGTTGTTGATTAAAACGTAGTGGTGAGATGGCTCGCATGGATTAATCACCAGACCCCCCTGTTGCATGGAAGTAAACTCATTAACGTCACATTACTTTCATGACTCATTCTTTCTCAACAAACTTTCTCTTTTCATCTCTTCTTTTCTTGAGGTGACTTTCTGAAATCCTGTTGCTTTTGTAGTGCTTCATGTTGTGTGGGTGATTTCCAGCAAGATAGAATAGTACGCAGAGGCCTTGAAATTGGTTCACATCTATCCATTTGTTTCAGATGAAAGAGAGGGAGAAAGGGCTGAATGATTCTGACTGTGATCTTATTACAGTTTTTGTAATCCACCGTAAACTCTTTAAAAACAAATTCCATTTGAAAATGTATCGATAGCGATTATTAGCGATGTTTTAAACCAGTTTATACTGGAACTACTTCCAAGTACTGTGCAACATTTTACCAGTTCTTACAGATTTTTTCCAAATTGCTACCTCATGCTCGTACCGGAGTGTTGGCTCAGTCAGTAGAGCGTCCGCCTCACAACCGGGAGGTCGTGGGTTCGAACCCCGGCCGCGTCATACCAAAAGACGTTAAAAGATGGGAGTTGTTGCTACCTTGTTTGGCGTTCAACAATAAAGGATAGAGCAACGTCGATCTGGCGCTGCTCAGTGGCTGCCGGGCTCACGATCAATTGGGCAAAAAGAATTTCCGTTTCGGTTTAATAAAATTTGGAGTGGACTATTAGGCTATTATCATTATCATTATCATTATCATTATCATTATACTGAAAGCTCTTAATTATGAATTCAAATAATTGTTTGCCTTGTAATGAATGTTACAGTCATACATTCTTGTATTTTGTATTTAAATAGTTAGTGTACAGGTCATGTGAAGTAAATGCATTCATGTAATTACATGTATTTCTTGATTGTTAAAACAAATTTATGCAGTGGTGTCATATCAAGGCTTCCATTCAAAATGCATGTTAGGTATCCAAATGAGGGCATGTTAAGATTATATGAGAGATTTTCTTACATGTAGCTTAATCTGAGATGGATCTCGGATTGAACTATGATTAACTCTAGAATAATTAAACAAAACTAATTAATGGATTTCTTTAAGCCTTTGAACCAGATTTCTCTGATCAGTAGAATGAAATGAAATGAAATAAAAACCAGATTAAAGCTTTGAAAGAGGGAATGAGCGAGTGTGTTAAATCTCGCTGAATATCTCATGGCATTTAATGTGGTAGAGGAGGAGAGTGCAGTAGCATTGTGTCTCAAATTGTCCAATATCGTTTCTGCATTACGTATAGAGCTGGATCTTTCATGCCAAAGGCTGATATCTTGCTATTATTCCTCACTTTCATTGAAACATGAATCTCAAACCAAATATGGTTGGTCATCGATTGAGACCTAGTCAAAGTACTATGCCTCCCACTCTACTTGCATCCAAGCCCTCTTACTTCATCATACTACGCACCCCTTCTACCAGCCCTGGGGTGTGAAACATACACCCTCACTCAACATATTTGTCTATATGTGCCCTCTCTGCCCCCCCCCCCCCCCTCCTCCCTGGTATGGCTCTAGGTTAACAGGGTTAACGGACCCAAATGAGATCAAACCGAGGCATCATAGATACCGCTATGGATGGATGATACCTATTTTGGTAGGGATACACTCCTTCAATTCCTTTCCACCATAAACTCATGTCTAGTAACCTGGCCTAGGGTAGCGCATCTTCCCTGGTCGTATTTTGGGAGGCGTAGCGGGCTAATTGCCGGTAAGGTGATGCCAATTTGGATTCACCTCCCGGCCTCACGCGCCCCAATTTTAGTGTGGGCTGGGCTATCAGGTTGCCGGCAAACATTGATTTTGCGTGTGTCGGAACTGTTGATGTTTTGTCTCACCTGCCGTAGGTTCTGATTCTGTGTCCATCTTGTCTATGCATGGTCAGAGGAACACTCCTTTACTTGCCTTATTCTGGCATTGCTTCTATGATCTCTACCCTCAATATCTCTCTCTCTCTCTCTCTCTCTCTCTCTCTCTCTCCTGTATCTTTCCCTCTGTATCTCTATCTCTCTCTTTCTCTACTTCTTCCTCTCTTCTATCTTTCCTCTTTCCTACTTCTCCTACCTTCCCTACCCCTATCTCTCCCTTCCACTCTGATCTTCACTTCCCTACCCTATCTCCTCTTCTCAATCTCTCTCTTTCTCTCTCTCTCTCTCTCTCTCTCTCTCTCTCTCTCTCCCTCCCTCTCTCTCTCTCTCTCTCTCCCTCTCTCTCTCTCTCTCTCTCCCTCCCTCCCTCCCTCCCTTTCTCACCCTGCCATCCACCCCTCCCCCTGTGTCTTTTCTTTTCACCATCTTAGAATGCTCTATTGATTTGATGAAACTCCTTTATGTTCCCTTTGACATTAATGGAGTAATGGAGTTTCTTCCTCTACCTTTTTTAAAATCAATATTTGAAACTTTCTTTATGTTTTCCAGGTCCTGTAATATTTAAATATATCATATCAATCTCGAATCGTTTCACCTCACCCTGTATACTCGGCTATTTAAGTACACTTTTTCAGTCTACATTACAGTATAGCATGTTATCTTCTTCCCAAAGCTCCAGAACGTTGATCTACTTTGCAAGTCTGTTAGACTTTCCCTCTCTATATTTCATCCCTGTTTCTTTCATTCTTTGTTTACATTTTCCTAATTATTAACTTGTTTTTCTTGATCCAATATAACTTCCTCATTTCATATTTGATCCAATATAACTTCCTCAATTCATATTGATGTTTTGTATGATTCTATCATTTTTTAAATTCTTTTAGACCTTTGATGAGATTGAGAACAGCATCCATGCATATTTTATTGAGATAGACGTGACTTTATTCACACTTTTATGAATACCTAACATTAAAAATTGTTAAATCACTTTCTTGTTTCATTAAAAATCCTTTTTTTTCTCAGATGAATACATCATTCAACCGTGATTCCGTGAAGGCAGGAACCGGACGTCGTTTCCTTGGTGGAATCCTGGATGAGAATTCTCTGTGCTACACTCTAGAAGTCTCCTTCTTCTGCTACACACCCAACTCATCATCTACTGTAGTCCCATATGATGAAGATGGTTGTATCCTTTTACTATGTCTCTCACTTTGTTTTATGATCTGGGCTTTATCTTTTAAATAGTTTCAATTGATTCAAGTCGGTTCCAACTTAACTTATGTACATTAATATCATTGCAAATGCTGTCGAAAGTGTGGATATGTGGATGTAGTTTATGATAGATTAAGTAAATCAAGTTACGATTTGGATGAATCATAACTTAATTCATGATTAATATCAACCGGAGCATTATACATAAGAGAATTTAGTTAACAATAGGATTGGAAAAATGGGGATCAGTTCAGATTAATTTACACTGTTATTTGTAAGTTGAGAGCTCCATGCAGAAGGGGGTTAACCTTTGTGGCTCTCAACTGATCATTTATGAGATAATAATAATAATAATAATAATATTCCGTGTTTATATAGCGCTCAATACATCCATCCGACGATGTGCCTAAGCGCTTTACAGATATATAGAAAAAATGTGTAAAAATAAATCAAATTTGTGAAGATGTAAAATCAAATTGTTTCTCCATTACAACAGTGTTGCTTGCCAGTTCCAGAAAGAAAAATAGATAATCTTTTTCTTTATAAAATTTGTCTTTTAGGAGAATTAACCCCCAGGCTACCAATGATGCTTGTACTTTACAGTATATATCATCTCCATCTGTGCAAAACAAAACAAACAGATACATGGCTGGTGTGAAAAGTGCGTTCACCCAGACATAATGTAAACAAAGAGTTTTCCCAATGAGCTAGCTGTCTCGTCAGTCATGCTGCCATTATTATATAGGTAGAAGTATTAACAGATAGCAGTGTGTCCTTGATGACGACCCACAGCGAGAGATGATGATGATGATGAGACACAACAATTACTCAGGAATCATTTACCCAATGAAATTACTCATAAAGTAGCTCCATACAACTGGACATGCAATATTGAGCAAGCTCTATTGTTTTTTGCAAGTCCAATTAGGTAATTGATACTTGTCAGTTATTCTTGCATTTTTTGAGCATGTGTGGTTTGTGTGTATCTCAGTGTATGAGAGAGACAAAGAAATAGAGAGGGCAAGAGAGAGATAGATAGAGAGAGAGAGAGAGAGAGAGAAAGAAATAGAGAGGGAGAAAGAGAGATAGAGAGAGAGAAAGAAATAGAGAGGGAGACAATGAATGAGAGAAAGATAGTAACAGAGAGATAAGGAAACAGGTACCGGTAGTTTGAAAGAGATACGGATCAGGATTGTGAGAAAGAGAGAGAGAGAAAAGAGAGAGAGAGAGAGAGAGAGAGAGAGAGATGGAGAGATAGCAAACAGATAGATGGATAATGATAGGGGGAGAAAGAAAGTTGGAAAGATAGGTTGAAATAAAGAGAAAAGATAAGATATACAATACCCATGTGTCTAGTCAATTTTAAATGAAAATTAATTATTCATCTGTAATTACTGTAATCCATTTCAGAGATGGAATACAGTTTTAATCCCTTGGTCAATTTCACAATGAATTATCACTCATAATTACATGCTATGTAAATACAAATGCAATCAATATCCTATTATGATACAACCAAGCCAGTAATAATAGCAATATATATAAGCAGCATATATAAGTGTTTCTACTCTTTTTGTGTTTAGTGGGAGACAGTAGAGAAATGGAAAATGTAGAAAAAAGAAAGTAGATTGGACTTGGATAGATCATATATTTGTATTTGGAAAGGCAGCCTTTACTGTGTGTTATCTATTGATATGGTATGTAATTCAATTACAAATTTATATGTATATAGATATCGCCATGACATATAACTATTTCAACGTGTGGCATATAGCAAAAAAACTGAGACACCAAACACTGTGTGCAACATTTTCCCCTATGGAAAATACTGAATTGTTTAGATACACTATACTGCAAGTTTCAGTTTATTTATTTTTTCTATGAGCGTTTGTTTAACATCTTTATTAAGAATGATAACAACAACACCACCACCACCAACAACAATGTGTGTTGTTAACCCAGGGTAGCCTTATTAGTATTTATATTGTTCTCCCTGAGGACCCTGCAATCATATTATTACCCAACAAAGATGTTGTCGATAACAAATGACAATAATTGATGTGAGCTGCTGAATTGAATGTGATTGAATGTGATTGAATTTGAGCAAATTGTTATCGTGGCAGTTGTTGTTCTAATTATTTTTATTCGCTCTTTTTGGGGGTTCCCCTCATTTGAAGAGATTTCTTCACAATAGAAAAAAGTTGGGAAAGATGATCAGAATAACATTGCTGTTGGCGATGCTGTTAATTACAGCTGTGTTTCTGACATTAAGGTTTTCACATTATGTTGTTCACATTGTTTTCTATTAATGTGCATTGTTTCCTTGACGATATGATTCAGACATGAAGCTAGGAAGGAACCTGGTCAAGACGTTTCTAGATTACTACAAACTCTCGTCTTTGATCACACCTAAACCAGCAGCTAATATATCAACACTCAACCAATTCAGGGTATGAAAACTAAGCTACATTTCCCATTCATTGTATCAGCTGCCATTTTCATAAGGGTTTTATTGTAACAAAGTTTGCAAATTGTTGTTGGGTTATGAATATACCAGCATGAACAAATTGAGCTGGTAATGCACAAATGAACATGTAAAATGCAAGGAGCATGAGTAAATCATTGCATAAACGATATCTCACAGAAATAGTTTTGCTCCTGTCATCAGCAAAATTTCACAGACACTAATGTTATATCTTAACCCATTGCCTACTGGAGCTGGGTTTGTCCTGTATTAAAGCCTGCTGGTATAAAATGTCAGACTCAATGTGTTAAAGGAGATCAATTACTCAAAATAATTTTGATGTGTATAAACAGGGCTTTGTGACATAAAGATGAGTTGGTGATTGATTGTTAATTTGCAATACCGGTAGATCATATCGTCAGTTTGGAGCCGAAAGGGTGCTAACTCATATCCTTTAACACAGAGTTACGACACGTACAGTTGATTATATGATCAATCAATCAATCCTAAACTGAATTGCTGAGCTTTGTATTTTGGGTCTTTGATGAAGAACAAATGGTATACACTGCCTTCAAGTAAAAAAGTGACATAATCATTTCAATAAATCATTTTTGTATGATTTCAGAGAAGAGAGAAGTCAGCTAAAGGAAGCAAAGGAGAGAGCGGTAAAGGTGAAAGACGAGCTAGCTCAGAGATGAGCAAGTACTACACACAGAGGAACAATGTGGATAGTCATAGCGCCCCCACTGTCAACGGAGGTCCAACCGTACAGCTGAAATTCAACCAGAGGGAAGCAAGGAGATGATGACAGAGAGAAGATGAAGAGACTCATTTGAATAGTGAAGATGAAACTTTTAAAATAGGGACAGTCTGAATGTTAGCGGATCATTTTCTGTGGGTTAATTGTAAGAGGATTTCAAATGATCAGTGTATGAGTAAAGATTCACTCCAATTCCACCTGTTCATTCCAAACATGGAGCACTGATACATTGCATATCCTATGTCTTGTATCTGTATTCACGTGGATATAGGTAAACAGGTTGATGTTTTGAAACACCTTTAGTAAAATTATACTATTCTTAAAACATTAAATTAGTGTTGAAACTTGGATTATATGACACTGAACATCTCATTCACAACACTAACATGTGTGTTTGAATAGTGCAGAGTGTATTTCAAAACATTCATTGGTGAGATAGGAAAAAGGTTTGTGCCAGGTCATATTTTGTCTGTGGTGTTTGAAGTAGGAATATGAACATGACTTTGGTAAATATATGTGTATAGAAACTTATTGTAAGATGTGCCATTTTCAACTCTGAATCGCACGAGATGCAGTACCTGTTTCATCATCTTGCAGCCAGTATTACTTTGGAGAAAAGTTTGGATAGACCGTGTGTCATTTATACTTTCTATGGTCAAAATGTCACCGTTATGCTGTACATGTAAGACTGCCTTGAGTTTTGTAAATTGATTTTGATAGTGTATCTTAAACTTCTAGAAGAGACTGAAATTGATATGTGCCATAATTTGCAAATTCACAAAAATAGTTTGAATATAAACCTTGGTCTGAACCACAAATTTATTTTGGATTTCCAAAATAACCGCAAAAAGAAATGATCATAATTCAGGCAACAAAAATAAACACATTTTTTTTTGCATTTATTTTTCATAAACGATCTCATTTGTTATATTTTTTCTCTCTTTCTTTTGGCCACCCATAGTAATTTGGTAATATATGGCTAAACCACCTTTATGAATTCTGACAAAAGTCTTGTATGAACCGCAATGACATAGGTTAAAGGTAGTTACTTTATTCTGCTTTTCTCACTCCCGTTTCTCGAGTAACTCACACACTACTATGTAAATCCTTTTATTGAAGGCACCTTGTATATATATAAAACCAAAGCTAATCTAATGTGTTAATAAGATATGGGCTGCTTTGTATTATAAATACAGAAATATTTATTTTCATTTTGAACATAATTCTGTCAATAAAATTGAATAAATCACATCCATCTGTCATTTGTTGTCATTATAAATGATATTAAAACAAAACTGACAATACAAATACTTCATGTATTCACTTAAAGCTTACTCAAAAGGAAATTATAATCCTTTACATTTCTACACAACTAATTGATTTCTGATCCATATTTTCTTGGAAGACATTTGCTGGAAATCCCAGACTTGCTTTGTACGACTAATTAGGCACAGGCTTGCTATTCTGTGCTATTATAGGGTGCACCAATTGTACACTAATCCCCTATGATGAATTAGATGAGCTCCACTAAAATGATTTCCATCAAAATGCCACAGGAAAGGCATGCATCATGTCTAATGGATCATTTCAAAGACATCTTGAATGGAATTAAAGTATTGGCTTTCCTAATCTTGGCAATTAGTCTTGGTAAAGTCACCCTGATTGATGCTCTATACTGTGTGTATCTATTAATAGAATAATATTCCATATATATATCTTTCACTGTAAGAACATGCAATACGTTTCATCAATATCTCAGATTACTACGGAAAAATGTGAACAAACCAAATCTGTGTTTCTCAAATACAAGTAGGCCTACCTCAAATTCCTTGAAGTAAACACAAGTATAAAGCCTGTCCAGAGAAATCTGAATGAAGCGGAGAACTTACAGAAAAATCTATCTTACATGATATAAGGCATTATATTCCACAAGAATCTTGCTCTACGATTGGTCAAAAGTAAATCACGTGATAAAAGATAGTTCGCCCATTATTTATGGGAGAAGCAAAAAGTTCATTACACTGTGTTTCTACACAGTGCAACACACTTTCACTGAAGATAGAGGTACTATCTACACAGGGCAACACACTTTCACTGAAGGTTATCCAAAAGCGCACTAAAACAGGCGTAATTAAGCGCGCATTACCAATGAGCGCAATTAAAGCAAACACATGCGCGCACCGTACCCTCAAGGGGTTGGGTTAAACTTTTAACTCTTTTGGTGTGAATTCGGGCCTGGTGTCTTTCATGTAGATGCATACACGTCCTTTTCTTTTTGTAGTTAAATTGTTTTAGATGTGGAATATAAAGCAAAATATAATCACCTTTTGGTTTCAGGCGATGGCAAACTATCACTTCCTCGTCGATCAGAATGTATACGCTATCTTTCCTCAGCTTTGCTTCGGAAAGATAGCTAACATCCAGATCGCCTCGGAAGTAATAGTTTGTCCCATCACCTTCACCAACGGTAGTTATTCGCTTACTATTAGTAATATTTGACTAATTTGCCCACTCAAACATTTACACCGCTTTGATTAAATACAGATGACATCCCATCAACATTACACATGCTAAAGGAAAGGAAGTCTTTGTCACACATGAAACGCTTACTACTCAGGGATTGCAAGTGGGAAACATTAAATGGGATACATCAGTTAAATTAAAATACAAAACTGCTCTAAAATCAGATTAAACAAAAGAATGGATTAAGGTCCACATTTAACTCATTCAAAACATGACCCAGATCGTGCATGTAACTGCATACATATGGGCCAAAATATGTTCATTTAACCTAATTTTAAGACCATTATAGACTCACTGGAAATATCAATAATGAGAGTACTTTGTATTAAATGACCTGCATGTCCATAGGTCCGTCACCCTAGTTGTCAACAAACCTGGTATTTGTTTGTAATCCATGATTAGTGTTTGATGTTGATATGACCTTCACCTCACAATAACCTCTCAAAGTGATTGGTGTTAATGAGATGAACTCGTAAAAGATACAGGGCACTAATACAGAGTGTATGGGACACAAGTTCATTGAAAGGTCATATAGGGCCATTACAGGATATATCTTTTAGGGCTAAATTAATCAAATAATAATAATATTCAGTTCTTGTACATGGCGCATAATATGTTATGAAATAACATCTCTTTATGCGCTTCCAAAGAGCTTTGGAAATCATTACCCTAGCTTTAGCTTCATATTAGCAACAAAATATTTTTCTTATATTTTTTCCCTTATACTATTCATTATTGATAGAAAATAATGTCTCTGAAAAACATCATATATGTGCAAGAATGTTGTTTAAAAATTTGTCAATTTTCATCAATGATTTCAAATCTTGTAAGGTGTTGCCAATTTAAGGATTTCACAGCTTATTTTCCTTTATAAAATTCCTGGTATCAAATGCAATTTATTCATGAAACAAAAATGGATGCAGTACATGAAGAAATTATTATGCTTTCTACGTTAAGGATAAAATATCTACTTATAGAAACATATTTAAGTTCATGATTGGGTTTTCCCTGTAACGTGAATAAGGCCTAAAAAAAAGATGTTGTATTACCCTGGGTTGGTCGGTCCTTATTGTTTTTTTCTTCTTTTCTTTCTCTTTTTCCCTCTTTGGGCTGATAATTTTCAGTTTTGAATGCTTTAATACATATTTTTTTCTAAAAAAACGGTCAAAAAAATAAAATGAAATAAAAAGCCGACCATAGATTTTAAGATTTCCGGGCTGGCCGCAAAAGAAAATACAACATTTTTTTTTTAAAGGCCTAACTAATGGGTTTAAGGGCCATCTACATCTCGTATTTGGATGACATTTTGCATCTAACACCACATCATTTGGAGCTAGAAGGTCATTAACTCTGTGTGAAAGTATATGAGTTAACGCCCTTCTGACTCCAATCAGATGACATACTCTCTGCATTATTAAATACTGAATGAATTAATGAAATGCAGTAAAGAAAACATTTGTGTGTCAAATTCTTATTAATTTTTAATATTCATAAAGGAAACACAAAATCTATTCTTTTAGTCAATGTTTAGAAGAATAACAAATTAAAACAAATGATTAAATGCATGATACAGATGTACAATTAACCATGGTATATATCGGATGTGTAGTTTTACTTTACACATTTTAACTACAGTTGTATCTACTAATAAAATGAACAATCTCTCCTTTATCTCCTATGTTTGACCAAGAAGATACCATATTGGCCATAGCACAAGGTTATATTCATATTGAAATCATTTGATTCATGTAAAGGTAGGCATTGACATGACCACTGATCAAGAAGGAACACTTTAAGGACATCTACTGAAAGAAAACAAAATTGATCAATTCATGGTAAAATAATTCAAACTGTATAGTGAAACAGTATAAATAAAAGACAGCGAAAGTCTAAAGTCTCAGATATATACGGTAAAATGCCGAAGAAAAAAAAACATGCAGCAGATTTTTGTATGTGTAAAGATCCTGAGCTCTCTCTCTCTGTTATAAAATAAAGATATGTGAAGTGTATAACATTTACGCTAACATTTAAAAAAAAAACCTTCATACATGAACGAGCACAAAAAAAGCCCAAATACTGTGAAAAACTTCAGAAAGTCTGTCATTCATTGAACTGAAGAACACATAATAGCACAGTTGCCAACAATTAGGAAAATGTGTAATTATTACGAATTTCAGACCTTCTGTGCGAAATTACAAATTCACCTTTAAAAAATATGAATATGGGCGCAAATAGAGCATGCAGGCACTGAATAACGTGCATAGAATACATGCCGCAATGGCTAACTCGTATAAAGGGGGTTGGCTATTTGCAGAACAGGAATGTGTATGTCAGTAAGAACACACAGTCTTGCATGCAAAGATCGCCTCATGCTGTGGCTATCCACACCAAGCGCATTGAGTAATGTACACACAATACGTTGCGGGATAACGTACTCGAATGGTCACGTTGCGGGATAGCATACTCGAATGGTCCCGGTTTGATGTTCGTACAACCCGTAACTGCCATGTTACTCTCATGACTAATTGACAATTCAAATGGTGGCAGCTATGCAATAGAAGAAGAAGCTGCGTGATCAGAATTGTCCAGATTTGAATGTTGACTTGTTTCAGTTGATGTTTGGAAGATGAGAGAGTACTACTTGAGAGGTTGTATGAGATCAAAGCATCCTGTTCCACCATTGACTACTCTGCCTACTACAAGCCGTGCAGAGGGAGACTGCAGGTTGTCTTTAGCACCTGAAAAAAGATAATAACACAAAATATATCATAAACCAATGGTCATCAGTTTCCATGTGCAGGTGGCCATAATTTACTGACACCAGACTTGGTGGAAATAATATTAATGGGTGTACAAGTCTTGCACACAGCAAAACCTGTAGTTCCATCAAGAAATACCACGAGTCTCTCGGAGAGTCCTTGGTTGAGGGAAATGTAAGATACCTTTTCCATACAGGGCGATTGGTGGAAAATGCAGAGCATTACATAAGGACTATTGGTCATAAAACTGAAGGCTAATCTTAGTGACTGACAACAACTCTTATTGGGTAAACAATCGAATGATGTCGAGTTCCCCATGAGAGCTCACGACGATGTGTCTTTAAATCAATGGTCTGGAAATACCAGAAAAAACTTATGTGAAAAAACATCAAGACCAAAAAATTGAAATAATAATTACAACATAAATATTTGGACATGTTCTTTCCAGTACAACTTTTAAATTAACACCTAGTTTTGATAAAGCCCAATAACTTTTCATTAGATTTTCTTTGATTTCCTTTTATAAATAGCAAGAAATAAATAGCAAGAAATTAACATTTCCCAGCTTTTAAGTTTTTCCTCAATATCTGCAATAATAAACAAATTTCACAGCAAAGACCACCTTCATGAACACTGCATTCCTCTTTCAATTCTCTATTTTCTTTTTTAACGTACCCTTCTTTTTCTTTATAGCTTAATTGCTCTTTTTGAGCTTTGTATTTCTTCCACCGCCGAACCTGTACCCACCTTGTATAGTAGCTTCTCTAAGGAACCTCATGCAGCTCTCAAACGTCATCTTCTGTATCGGAGAGGCATTGGACTCCAGACCGATCCGGTTGAAAGGTCGATACACACCCTCAAAGGTCATATAGTCAGAAACCAATGAGAGATGACGAGGGTCTACCGTGATGCCGTACACTGAGAACACATCACGTACCTCCTACAAAGACGATTAGAATACAAGGGTTGGAAGTGATTAGTGAACACTAAGGCCAGAATTCACAAAGGAGGTTTGTCGACAAACCTAGGTTTATGTGCGTCATATGACGTACATAAACCCAAGTTTGTTGACAAACCTCCTTTGTGCATTCGGGCCTAAAAGAGCAAGTCTAGGCTATTGTTCCATACGTCACAAACCACATCTAAGATTGTGTCCGGTTTTAAGCCATACTAGAGCTTTTATGAAAAGAAAAGACAGATTTGATGTCAATATAATGATCAGAACTCTACAATACTTTGTGATGTACTGGACAGCAAATTACCAAATAACTTAGACTTGCCCCAAACCACATCACATACTTTCTACACATATATTGATCTATTGCCTACCAGTATTTTGCTTATTATCTCTATATTATCTCTAGTGTTTATTGAGATATCGCGTTAACGAGAAAGAGAGAGGGAGGGAAGGACAGATGGACATAATGCCTCCAGCACCACCTTCAGTGGGCGTAGGCATAACAATAATTAAAAGTACCTTTGAATATTTACACATTTCTCTCTCTATGTAAAATGAATAAGATGTTACCTTGATGATAGCTTTGGATGCTGCCTCTATACCATAGGCATTGGCCATGGAATGAATATCATTGGTGTATGCCTTGTTCAGGTCTAGTAGCTTGTCATGCTTATACAGCTCCTGTAGAAATAAGAAAGTAATGAAAGTTGATATGTCATTAAACGGGAGCAACATCGTATAGTGGTTCATTCTCTTGACTCTCAATCCAATAGATGACACCTCAGTCACACAGGCAAACCGAATCCAATTCAACCCAAATCCCCCCGATGCTTGGCTGTAGGGGTCAATGTATTGTAATGTTAGGTCTGTTGTCGGTCTGGTGTTAGTCTCCTTGGTATGACTGAGGTATGAGGATGGAATCTCTACCTGGGACCCATTTCACAAACCATTTTTACAATGACAAATGAAAAAAAATCAGTGCCAAATCTGCAGATAACCGATCAGAAGCAAGTATTTCAGTAGCTTATAACAACAACTGTCATTTGTCACTGATGACAAGTTTTGTGAAAGGGGGCCCTGGAGTATATGTTTCTTATACAATATCTGTCATATTTGAAGACTTCTTTGTTTACTCAACTATGAAACAAATTTGTATTAATTTTCTGATTAGATCTCTCAGTCAATTTATACTATGTTTACCAGATACAGTATCAGGATGTGCCTTCATCATTGCCTTATTTCTACTGATTCTGACTGTCCTAGAATACAAAGATATATTTTTTTTCATACTTTTTTTCTCCACAGGGATTTTATTGATTTTCATTTGCAACAAATTATCAAACATAAATTAGTAGTAGTGTTTATTTTACCTGACTGCTAAGAAAGCATAAATGCTTGTAAGTAAGCAGCCAGAGGACCAACGGATTTAGGTCCTCTCTGAGAGACCTGGTAATGAGGATTAATGCCTTACCAAAGGGCATTACAGGGATTACGAGACCACTGCTCTACCGACTGAGCTATTGCGCCTATATTCAAAGATATTCAAAGACATAGATACTCACATGTAGATTGACTCCTTCAGTGAGTAGTTTAGTCTCACCAGACCCTTGACCAGACACCAGACAGCGAGAGATTCCTGGTACATGATGAACGGTGGCTTGTTTAGAGACTAGCTCTACCAGTGAAGCCATGTCCAGCTTATTATCAGTCAAATCAACCTAGGTATGCAACATGATAATGGGATGTTAATTGTCAAATAAAATATGTTATATGCTTCATATCGTTCCTGTTTTCACGAAGTGACGGTAGTGAGGAAAATCTGTAATTGTATGCAAATTTCCTCACTACCGTCACTTCGTGAAAATAGGGATGATATAATATCCATGCAGCACAACTGCAAAGGCACAAAGTGGGATTACATCATATAAGCTTTATAACTCTGTTGCTGTTGTTTTAGTTTTTATGGCGTGTATCATTCATTTATGAATATTTACGCTTACAAACACTTCTAGTAGATTGTGTACAAGGATAAACTAAGATACATCCTACTCCTGAACCCTGTAAAGAAGTAAATTTCCTTTTTAATAATGATATTATACCTTATTTGCAGTACAAAAATGAACTACTTGTCTTTATGTGTTTCTGTGTGGCCTCTTCTCTTACCTTGAATTTGAACTCACACCATAGCTGATCTTCAGCATCAAAGTCATACGTCACCATCAATGGACTCAGATTCACTGTAGCCTGTGAACAAGGGATTCAATGAGAGGAATCGTTTATACAAGGCAAGTCAGATCATAACAAAAATATTGTCATAGTAGTTCAGATTACAATGTTTGATTCACTTGCATTCTCAAAGCATCTTGAAGTGCCAGGATATTCGCTTTGCTACAGTAGAGGTGAAAGCCTTTCCCTACATGAGCATTTCTAATCCTTCAGTATGATGCTTCATAAACGAAATAGTTGGTTGGATTACGATTGATTTTGATATACCACACATTTCAATTTGACTCCAGCCTGAGTATCTTGGGCAACGTGTATTCAAGAGGTCAAGCTTTTGATAACTATCTGATTTTCATTCACCATGCATTTAATTCCAAGTTGATCTCAAAGCTTAGTTTTGAGTGATTCAAGGTGATTTGACTGACCAGTATTCTCTGATCCTTCTCCTTATCACTGATGGCCACCTGTCTCTTCTTCTTCTTCCTAGATGATGATTGACTCTCGTCCAGCTGAGATGAGAGTAAGTCTTCTTCCATTGCTTCATCATCCGCATCACCACCATCATCTTCATCAGGAGTACCAGGGCTATCTGCTTTTCCACTACCTCCATCACCACCTTATACACACAAACAAAAAAGGGAAATTTGAGTTAGACAAAAAACCCGCCTACATGTACATTACCAAAACATAAAGACAAAGTGGTTATTGTAGACCAATTCAATCTACAGAGCATTTGGTTCAGCATTTTTTTCATTACATTTACACAATTTGCTCCACAATGTAGTAGAAGGGCTGCTTAAAGATAAAGTTGAGCTCTGGTCATGCGATTGTATTGTGAATGAAACAGTGTGGAATCGATCAGAAAAATTTGATCATGTAGCAAATAAGTGGGCCTACAAAAGTTTCTCTGAGCTGGTCAACAGATGTGCATCAGTTGAGTAATCCAGTGGTTCGGTCAATTGACTGAGGATGATGAGGTTAGAGGTTCTATGAGGTATTACATTCAGCAATGGTTTAGTTCAGAGTCTTCTACCAACCTGTATCAATGATTTCTTCCCATTCTCCTTCCATCTCCTCCTCTGCTTCCTCTCCTCCATCATCCTCATACTCCTTCTCTTCATCATGTTTCTTCTTGTATTTAGATGCTGTACCATCACCCTCCTCATCACCACTCCCCTCTGATGAAATGGAATCTCTGTTTCTTGACACAGAGGCTGGTTCATCTTCTTGCATGGCTGGGTCTGTTCCATTCTTATCTTGGGTAGGGGCAGCATTGCCACCATCACCAATCAAGTCCAACTTGGATTTTCTGGATGATGCAAAGCTAAAAAGTACAAATAAATTGTAATTGTTATCACTATCTTGTTCTTTAATCATTCCATCCTGTATTTGTATGTTTTAAATGTTTTACACATGATGGGAGTGATGCCATCTTCAATTCAAACTGATGAATTATCTAATGATGTCAAATGATATCACCTGTTTCCAGCACAAAGGTGTTACTCACATGCTTTAACACAGACTCAATGCCCTTTTGGCTCTCAACAGACAATACATTCAATGTAACGTCCTTTCCATTTACAGCCTGTTCAGAGCTTCAATTCACTCATTAACACTTGCTCCCAAGACATATACAAAGTTCTGTAAAGGAACATCTATAATATTTGTTCCCTTTGTCACAGTGCAATAGGTAATGTATGGCAATGAGATTCCTTGCTTAAAGGTAATACAAAGTTCTGGTATGGGGTCATGAATTTGGTTCAAATGAACATATTCGAAGCATATGCGATCCTACAATATTCAGTGATCGTTGTCGCGGTTGAAATCGAGTCTAAAGTTATGAAATTGTAAATAATAAACTCTCTATGTTGTATAGTTCCCTCTCAAGGTCAAGATATTAATTAGCTATAAAACAAGGTTTCTTGACTAAAATCGACTGATTAGCTATTCCCATTTGGAAATTATATATCACAACTATATATCATAGATTTTTATGGTCGCAGCTACCATTTTACGACCCTAGGCGCTATTTGAAATTTATCAAAATCTACCGGGAGCACCGGTCAATTGTTATATTAAATTTTTCTCGAAAGCAGAAGAGTTTTAGAGGCTAAATTTTCTAGTGCTTATAATACATCCACAGGGCATCCAAATATATCCAAATTGTAAAGAATCACTATCCACCCAATTTTCAAAATTTTGTGGTATTACCTTTAATACTTACTTTGCTTTCTTGAGATCTTTCATCTTTCTCTTGACAATCTCTAGGAATTGCTTGAGGAAAGTCACTTCAATGTAAGACAGGATACTAGCTGGAGTGGCATTTAGCTCATCCTAAACAAATATAAAAATATTGAAATTGCAAATCATATTATTTTCTTGTACAAGAAATATACACTGAGCATGCACCCGCCGTGCCAAAATTGTCTAATTTACATCATGAAATGCATAAATATCAGCATACAAATTCAGAAGTTTTACATGTATCCATCACTATGTCCAAATTGAAATGACCAGTTACAAATTAAATCAATTATGTTAGACAGTTAATAAATTATACATCATAACCTGAATAGATAATACCTGTACAAGGTGGTAAAAATGCAGAAAACAGACTGAAAACTTGTAACGTTACAACTGTGTAAGGAGAAATCTCACAGAGGTTGAACAAATTGTAAGTTATAGTGAAAATGCAAGAAGATCAGATTAGAATCAGGACCATAATTGCACTGAGTTTCAGAATTTCTAACTTGAAACAGAAAGGTATAACATTAAAAAACCTCATGAATTGTACCTTGATCTGTACCATAGATGAGTGCTATACATTGATGCTGTTATAATTATTAATAAAAAAAGCTTTACTCCATTCAACCTACCTTGTATTCTTCATGAGGCAAGAAGTTGAGTCTGATCTTGTATACACGATAGTGATCACTGCATGAGGAAAACAGGACAATAGAGTTATCTCTGTATCATAGAGCATTAAGGCAGGCCTCAAAACCAATCTATTCAAGCAAATGTTTAGTCCATGATTAATGGAGGAGCGTGCACCTTGAAACAGATGTTTGAAACAGATAAATGGCTCCATACAAGTAGGGTGGATCATCATCACGATACATATTTCTATTACATACCATGTTGTTTACAGAAACAACAAATACCCAAATATTTATACCGGTATAGCTGACATTCATGTCTGTTTAATGAGGAAAGTCTCCTGTTTAGGGATCATATTGTACTGTCCAGAGAGGGCACAAAAGCAGATCCATGCATTGCTTTCCATCTTTGTAAATCAATTTGTCATTCAAATATTTTTGCAAACAAGTATATTCCATCTTAAATAACATCTTCAAGAAGAGGAGATTTAAGAGTAGATAGCTTTGTATTCTATGAGAGTTAAATTAAATGATAGTTTACTCACTGTGTGGTAGGAAAGTCATAGGATTCCCAGATGTCTATATCTTCAATTACCTGTATATGAATGAAAGCAAGGGGGCGAAAAAAAGGATGGTGAGAAAATAAATCAAAACTCAAATAAAACTATCAATTGATTGACATTTTATATGCTTACGTTTGGGCACACCATCAAATACCAGTGTTATACCCTCATACACCCAGCACTACTTCAATCATTGGACATTTTTTCTTTACAATTTTACTATTTCCAATAAGTTTAATCCAAAAATGTACCTTGTGCTCAGCACACAAAAACCAAATAGCATACAGACTCAGCATGCATACATGAGTGAAAATGTAAATTATGTTGATGTATTATGTAACAGAATGATGACAAATCTGTACCTCAAATGATAGCTATATGGTTTCAATTTAACTAATTTAACCAATTCAATTTAACCAATGCAATTTGCCTTATAAAGCACCGATATCAGCAAACTAATTACCATGAGAAATAAAGAAAGAAATATGCGGTATAGACATCATACCTGTGACAGGTGTACTCTACTGAGCTGTCTGCATATCCTACCAATCTTCTTAGTCGAGATATCAGGATTGAGGAATGGTATCGTCATACTAGGGGTCTTTATATTGGCACTGGCTACCATCAGAATCTCCCTGTAAAACAAGAGACGGGATAACAATCTTTATATTGGCACTGGCTACCATAAGAACCTCCCTGTAAAGCAAGAGATGGGATAACAATCTTTATATTGGCACTGGCTACCATCAGAATCTCCCTGTAAAACAAGAGATGGGATAACAATCTTTATATTGGCACTGGCTACCATAAGAATCTCCCTGTAAAGCAAGAGATGGGATAACAATCTTTATATTGGCACTGGCTACCATAAGAATCTCCCTGTAAAGCAAGAGATGGGATAACAATCTTTGTATTGGCACTGGCTACCATAAGAATCTCCCTGTAAAGCAAGAGATGGGATAACAATCTTTATATTGGCACTGGCTACCATAAGAATCTCCCTGTAAAGCAAGAGATGGGATAACAATCTTTATATTGGCACTGGCTACCATAAGAATCTCCCTGTAAAGCAAGAGATGGGATAACAATCTTTATATTGGCACTGGCTACCATAAGAATCTCCCTGTAAAGCAAGAGATGGGATAACAATCTTTATAATAGCACTGGCTACCATAAGAATCTCCCTGTAAAGCAAGAGATGGGATAACAATCTTTATATTGGCATTGGCTACCAAAAGATTATTATTATTATTATTATTATTATTATAAGAATCTCCCTGTTATAAAAAAAATTAAAAGTGATTCCAATCATAAAACTGCTTACCATTAAACTTACAGTAAACTTACAGTAGACACCACAAGGTTATTAACTAAAGTCACCAGACATGGCTTTTGATACCCGACCAACTCCGCCCCCCCCCAAGTTCTTGACCTTCTCCTTGCCTACCTGAGTCTTGGGATACCCAATGTTACGTTCATGTCACCACGCCCAGCAAAATGAAAGGTATTCAATGTCATCTGAGTTGAAGGTTCTCCAATCGACTGCAAGAAGAAACAAAATCAGATAATAGTCAACATACTTTGGCAAGGGTATAATACTAAAATTACTGTTTTCCATTCACGTGAAGTCTTTCTTGAGGTTTTTTACCTATATATAGAAATGAAAGACTTATTGGTATCATCATGTTTCCAAACATGTCACACACTATTATCTGGGATCAACAATAAAAGTTCCAGTATCCTTAAGAACCCCCTCTCCAGTCTAGCATCCCCTCCTTCTCTCTCTCTCTCTCTCTGCTGGGATTCTAAAGACCCCTACTTCTCGATACTACTGACCTGAGCTGCAAGAAGACCTACAGCTTCTCCTGGATCACACAAAGCTCTCTGATACTTGCTATACATCATATTATTCAGTTTAGTCTCTTCATCTTCTCTCATAGTCCCACTCTAATCATTTCATGCTGGGATTCTAAGGACCCTCTACTTCTTAAAACTACTGACCTGAGCTGCAAGAAGACCTACAGCTTCTCCCGGATCACACAAAGCTCTCTGATACTTGCTATACATCATATTCTTCAGTTTAGTCTCTTCATCTTCTCTCATAGTCCCACTCTAATCATTTCATGCTGGGATTCTAAGGACCCTCTACTTCTTAAAACTACTGACCTGAGCTGCAAGAAGACCTACAGCTTCTCCCGGATCACACAAAGCTCTCTGATACTTGCTATACATCATATTCTTCAGTTTAGTCTCTTCATCTTCTCTCTTAGTCCCATCTGCATCATCTGATGTTGGTAATCTTGAGTCTAGATAGTCTTGTAGGAGAGATTCTAGTTTCTCTGAGATAGCTCCAAGATGTCTATCAGGTCTCATCTGGCAGCTGACAGGGTCTGGACAGGGAGCCGTCTTCTTCTCATACCTGACAATCAACACAAAGCCATAAGTCAAGAGAGATTTACTCTTACATACAAACCACATATTGGAGTCGGAGGGCAAGCATTTGCATCATTTGTTGAATTTCATTGCAGACTTTTCCACCTATATCCGCAGTCATCAAAGTCTACATCAGAACTGAATTAAAGCCTTGAAAATCAAACAAAATGAGAGACACATGTCTAGACTGTTTCCTCAAACACTTTTATAACACTATTATGAATTCAAAGTTTAGATATATTTCTTAGACAGAAGTTGCTCTCCTGAACCTAAATGCCTGTGAATATATATATATATGAATTGTTAAGTCAGGGACATCATTTCATACACGTTTCAATCACAACAACAGTGAAAAAGGCACATAAATTTGGTGGGATTGTAAGTTTTAAACAAGTCTACTGATGATAATTTGTTTCAACCATATAACCCATGACTGACTTACCTATGCCTATCTGTGACTTCTCTCCATCTCCTAATGATCCTCTTCTTAGCCTTGTTATAAGCCTTCCTTACGTTATCTTCATCAGATTGAGCATTCTCTAAGATGGATGGATACTCTTTATGACAGAACTCTAGGAATGGAGACCTTCGTTCTGATCTGGAGCTATCAGAATGCTTCTCTTTCCATCTCTTGATCTGATCAAACAATAGAGAAATCAAAACATAGTGAAGCCATTCAGTGGTGAGTGGGCAGAGAATACATATAATCATTGCACATTCACTTGCATCATAAGCAACATCCCAACATCATCGGGGAAATGTTCAATATTTAAACACTTGCATTTTCTTTATATTCAATGAATGAATCTACCCACTTTACTACAACAAGAGCATTTGATTCAGTCCTAAACACCAAGGAATTATTTCCAATTTCTGTGTCAACACTTGAGTAATTATTTGATACCTTAAATAAACAGATGAAATGACAGCGAAGCAATTAAGTAGTCACTTTAGAATAAATATGAATTGTTAAATTGTTGGTACATCACTTTATTGATACTAAAGAAACAGATACATTATGACAAAGGCATACAAAGAAAAGGAGAGTATACTACGAAAAGCCCTGGACCTGACCTGATTAATGGTCCATGCAGAGCAGAGGCTTTACATGAACTTAATGTAAAGTGGATAGGAAGCACACATACCTTCCTGAATAGTTTCTCTGCCTGACTGGGGTCATTGGCCGGTCCACGATACTTGGACTGTGATGGCAAATGAGCATTGGCATTCTCTATCAGGAATTGGAACTGTTCTTTGTGTAGGAACGGAGTCCTGAGGATATCTAGACCATCTTCACCATACTGGAACTGCACTATACTGCCATCACTATCCCTGACCTGTACAAGGTAAAATGAAAGGAGAAAATATAGAATGAAATAGGCAATAGAAATAACAAGCTAATGGGCAATTCCACGGTAACGGAAGGACACTCAGACAAGATTTTTGAACTTCAGGTTCATACTAAAAGAAATGTTTTATTAGTATGTATTAAACTATGGGGAACAAAATGTGTTTCAGTCAAGTGGAAAGCTTCATGAACTTCACAAAGTTTGGATAAACACTAATTAACTGGAAAAACCATGTCCATTTTTATGTCCTTCCGTTACCGAGATAATTAATATGCACATTCTTAAACTACTTAACTATAATGACAATTTTTTTTGGGAGAATTAAAGGCACTTATATAGGTATTATATCTGTACTGTTTCACATCTTATACTAATAAAACAGTTCTTTTAGTATGAACCTGAAGTTCAAAAATCTTGTCTGAGTGTCCTTCCGTTACCGTGGAATTGCCCTAATGCATAACAGGGTAGTAAATATTCATGAGATGTTACTTTTGATTGAAAAGTACAAAAAATGCAAAGGTATGAAAAGGACAACGAACAAAGATGTGACAAAATGGCACATCTTGAAAGATAACCATGGCAGTAAAGTCTGGATGAAATCTTTCCAAATCATAACATTTTGAAAGAATTTGCAATTATTTTGTTAAAGCTAACTGATAGCTAAATGTGTCTATTATTTTGAGATTATAGGATGTAACTTACTGTTTGATCGTAGTTGACTACCAATCCCTCTAGATGTAACTTACTGTTTGATCATAGTTGACTACCAATCCCTCTAGATGTGACTTACTGTTTGATCATAGTTGACTACCAATCCCTCTAGATGTAACTTACTGTTTGATCATAGTTGACTACCAATCCCTCTAGATGTAACTTACTGTTTGATCGTAGTTGACTACCAATCCCTCTAGATGTAACTTACTGTTTGATCATAGTTGACTACCAATTCCTCTAGATGTAACTTACTGTTTGATCGTAGTTGACTACCAATCCCTCTAGATGTTTGATGATACATCTCTGGAGGTAACCACTGCGACTTGTCTTCACTGCTGTGTCCACCAGACCCTACAAAATAAAAATGAGACATTATATCATCATAATCACCATAATCATGATGATGATCATCATCACAGTCATCATAATCATCATCGTCTAATGTTATATTCCCATGCCATGGGGTTGGACCTTTCAGTTCGTTAACAGACCTTATCCAAGCCTTACAGTTTTCAGCATCCACGAGCATAAGGCCAGAAACTTAATTTTTTTGTATGTCATGTGAAATGAATGAAAAGGCTACTGACGATTGATACTGAGATTAATATAAACATTTAACTCCTTCATACGTCACTTTTTTTTTGGGGGGGGGGGGGGGAGGGGGGTTCATGTTTTGACCTCTTTTGTAACAGTCCTGAAAAAGAACAAAAACAGACTCCATAACTTATTTTAATAAAAGCCAAAACAAAGAATGACTAAAGAATAAGCTGCATCCTGACAATGCCAGCAAGCTTATAGGACAGAGTTTAAAAGCAAAAACAATGTGTTTTTGAAGCCAGAAAGGTAGTAACTCTATGTAAAAATGATATGATTTAATGCCCTTCTGGCTCCAAACAGACAAATACAGGAAGCTCAGCAAAATTCTGGCTTAATTCTACCTTTCCCTTACACAGTGTTTTGATTCAAAACACTGTTATCTACACAAAAAAGAAAAGGGAAGATAAAAACTCACTTCTCTACCAGCCATACAATGAAAGAAGTATTCCTGAGGTTTGATTCCAGTCAGGAACCGTCCAGCCACGTATCCCCCAGACCTTGGACTAGTCTCATAGGGTGGGAAGGACGGGAGTGACCGACCGCTGACCATCAGGGGTGGACGACGTCCTTCCAACTCTATCTGACCAAGCAGACAGGAGATCTGAAGACAGTTCACCTGAAAGGATAAGATGGAATCATGATTAATCAATAGCACACATTCTCCTCAGGACTGGTTATAACGTATAGATTACTTCTTAGATGTACTTACCATAGATCCCTTAGCACGAGACAGGACAACTAGGTGTAGGTTGTTCTCAGGGAACTGTTTAAGTAGTCCAGACCCAAGCTATGTAGAGCTGACTTAGGACTGGTCAGATTTAGTCTATTACAAAGAGAGTCAAGCCCATCTACTTACCATAGATCCCTTAGCACCAGATAAGACAACGAGCTGTAGGTTGTTCTCAGGGAACTGTTTAAGTAGTCCAGAGCCCAGACAGGTAGAGCTAACTTGGTTACTGTAAAGATCCGTCTTAGTCTTCATCTGTAGATCAATCTCCTTCATATCACTCCCATCAGGCTTTCTGGAATATGACAAAACAAACTCCAACATGAATTTTCCAGTTAGATATAGAGAAAACAATTTTCTATTACATCACAGTCTAATTTCTGGATATCTGATATGATATTCCTGCAAAATCATTAGCAGAAATGAAATGATGTAAAAGCCTTATAATCATATAAATTACTCATACATGCAAATAACAATAATTTCAATCTCAATATAAATAGACAAAATACAAATAGAGTACCTTTATGCATCAAAGGCACAAAATATAGACCAATTTTAAATTAAATTTTCAAAGTCATCATACATGAATGAATTCGTTTAGATTTCTGACTTTTGCCTCAATACTCACTTTAAGAGGACTGGCCATACATTTAAACAAAGAGAACATAAAAGATGCTTGATGTAGAAATACACTACTGATGATTACAATGAGAAAGATGGAAATACCTATGGGCATCTTCATATCTCTTTGTGAGGGTGTTGGCATGGAAACCAGTGAACTCCTCTACACCCAACGCCTGAGCAACAGCCTCTGATCCACAGTCCTTAGACTCCTCCAAGATATCAAGACGTTTCTCATCGGCCTGTTATAAGGTAATAAGATGACGCAAAGATCTCTAAGCAACAAACATTGTGTGGAATGGATACAGCTCTTGATAAATACTCATTATCATAATCATTATTATTGATCTGTGACCTGTAGGTTTGAAATGATGACAGAGTCTATTAATTAAAGATCTCTAGGATCATGGTCTGCAATGTATATATATCACATTCAATGAAACCTGTTTATAAAAGACAACTCAAAGATGACAAGAAAACACTTCTTCTCATGCAGGTGATCTAAATATGCACAGGTTCTCTCAGTAGATATTGCAAACAGAAACGTTATTCGAGCGAAACAGAATTTATAGTTTCATAGACAGGTGGTATTTGTAAACAGGTGGTCGCTAAAGCAGGACTCGAACCATGAACCATGTGATTCACGGTCGGGTCACGTATCCACTAGACGACACCTCAACATTACTTTATATTACTCCTATTATAGTATAATAAAATCATTATTTTGGATGTTCATATTTCAGCGAGGCGAAAGGCGGTACCTTGTCCAGGACAATGATGTCTTCAGGTCCCAGCGTGAAGCCAGTGTGCTGCTGCAGGAAGGTGGTGAAGAGACGTCCAAAATGGCTCAGCAGTTTACCAGCTATATGACCACCGTACAGCTGTACACGACACAACAATACCATGGCATTAATACTCCCAACTTAACAATGGTTGTATAACATGTGTTCTGTGGTCAGCATTCCACACAAACATAATTCTCAACTCGACCCTAGCCTTACCCCTAACCCTGATCTTCACCCCTAGACCAAATACTTAACACAACCCTAGACCTTAACCAAAACCCAACATAAAACCCAACTCTAACCCTAACCCTACATGTTTGACGGAATAAAGCCCAGAGCAATCATAGCTAGAGAAAAAGACTAGAGTAAATTTTTATCATACCTTTTGAAACCTAGTTTACCCTGTGGAGAAGCATGATGCTGATAGGGTAGAGGTTTTGGAACTGGAAGTATCTTTGTTGCCACTTCTTTTTTCAGTACCATATGACATTTACTCCCCCTCCCCAATTTTGTTAATAATCACAATATTTTGAGAAAGAAATGCTTGTGTTTCCTTTAAACCAAAATGCGTGCAGTTGGATATCATAAAACAAGTCCTTATATCACAATGAAGTTATAGAAAAATGAGACAGTGGTTAAAAATATCTTTCATCATATCTTATTTGTATTATATATGTGAAAACTTGGTGGCGCGAGAAGGAATGAAACCAAGAACAATGCCAAGGTGGAGAGGAATAATCAGTTTTAAAATGTAAAACAAATCTCAGGTGCTAGCCTGATTAGTGACCTACCTCATAAATACAGTGCACTAATCCATAGGGTGTAGGTCCATAGTTGCCCTTGTCTAACACACCACTCAGCAGCTCTCCTTCTCTTATGATCACCTCAGACTCACACATGTCCGTACCAACGAGGGCGCCACCACCTGCTTTAGGTGGCCTAGGCTCTGCTTTACACCAGGACTGCAATACAGACATTATAGGTAGTGAGTCTTTAATCCAAGGAACAATGTGAGTAATAGGAATTGATCTTCACTTAAAGCTTATCAACACTAGTGTGGCTAGGAGGGATTAGACCACACAGCAAGGTCACTGACAGGTGGCTATCTCATCAACTCAGCTCTCAAATAACATAAGAAATAGAGGATCATGGGGAACCAACAGGCACTGATTGGGGAAGTTTTCTATATAGAGGGAGCAAGAAGCTACAAGTAGGACAGTGGGGCTTTAAAGATAAAGTTGAGTTCTGGTCAGGCGATTGCATTGCGAAAGAAACGGTGTGGAATCGATCAGAAAAAGTTGATCATGTAGCAAATAAGTATTGGTGTGTATTGTAAGGTTCTGGAATCATCAAAATGCTAAGAAATTTGGCCCAGTCTCTGTAAGGTAACAAGCACTATACATAGAAAGATGTCTATGGGACTACACAAACACGTGGCATAAAATGTGGGCCTCATTTTTAAGCTGTTACTTGTCATATTTAGAATATGAAGGCATTTGAAGAGCCATGCTTTTCAGGGAACATTTTTTTCTCTGATGTTCTTCCACTCTTGCATAATGACAACGATAACACTCACAAATTATTTTTCACCTCTCCCCAGAACTCAACCTTCTCTTAAATTTTAGTAGAAAATGGACCAAAGAGGAATGAAAATAACTAGTTTACCTTTATGGGTAAGAGTTTCTTGATACTTTGATTTGATTGATCCATACCTTATTATTGATCTTTGACTTTCCAATGAAGTCAAGCGGCTTACATCCCTCGGGTATGGTATTGATGATGATAGTTGAGATCAGCTGCTTCCCGGACCACAAGAGGGCAGGCTTCCTGATACACGGAGGAAGACATTTGACCGGGCCCTCTTTGTCAGTCAGTGAACAGTAGACAAGCTGTTGGTATTCAAGCCTTGATGGAAAGTGAGCAAGACAATGAGAAAAATCAATGCTGAATCAATATCACTCATATCACTGCCAAAAATTTGGTCTAAATCCAAATAGATTGGCAATTCTCGCACATATTTACTTTATGAGATGCAAATCATGAATTCTATTGCTAAATGAAATATGTATCTTGTATAAGTCTTATCTCTCTAAACTTTTAATGAATCTATGCTGAATCAATATCACTGATATCCTACAAAAACTTACTACCAAAAATTGAATTTAAAGCCAAATATATTTGCAATTCTGGCACATATTCAGTTACAATATGCTTCTTGTATGAGCTTTATCACATATAACTTTGAACAAAACAGCAGACAAAAGAAATCATAAGAGGTGATGCCACTTAGAGCACTCATGAGGCATCATCATGAATGTTTGAACACGGGAAGAAGGGGTCAAAAAAGAGCCCCTTTTGTTTGAAGAGGGGTGTTCATTTGAATAGCAGAGCTTGATATAATGGAATTTATATGAGTGAATAGTGTGTTTACCTTGTGAAGAACCTTCCTCTGACTGTCATCCTCACCCCTGATATAATGTGATCCTGGATGAGACCACCCAGAGGGGTACCATCCTTAGGAACCAGGTACTGATGATTGGTACTAGCTGGAATAAACATAGAGAAACAAGATGGTGCTGTATTTATTCAGTGGTCTTAGTAAGGTACATGTAACTGTCTGGTAATCAGTTCAGAACATGGTCAAAATGAAAATAATTGCAACAGAGCTAAGGATGATTACGATGATGAAAGTGACGATGATGATCTGGAGCGTCATGACGTGACGTATGTGAGCGCTATACAAGAAGCCACTATTATCATTATTATCATGATTACGGAAATAGTGATGGTGGTAGTGGTGGTGAAGATGATGATGATTATGATGGTAATGGTATTGTTGATAATGATTATGTCCATGGAAATGATTGATGATGGTTTCAAAGTGATGATTGGAATGATGATAACGATGACCATCTGAACTAAACATATATCATCTATTCATAAAAGCTTTGTATATTCAAACGAGTCGTACCTATAGTGAGTGCCTCTGCTCGACCCAGTTCATTCTGGGGGAAATGCACGTTCATCTCATCTCCATCAAAGTCAGCGTTGTATGTCTTACATGCTGAGTAGTGTAAGCGTAGTGTCTTCTCACCGGGTAGAACTCTGACCTGTGTACGTAACGCATGATGCATGGATCATTGTGGAATGTAATAGTGTAAGGAACAAATGCACACCATTCAATAATCAAAGGAGTTGATCAGGTCAGACCAAATAGCTGGGCCATGTTCACCAAACCTTTAGATACATGTACTGTAATCTAGGATCTAGTAGGAAACTAATATCCCCACTTACCAACAATAGAGAGGCCAACTAACTTAGCTAGTTGGGAACTAAAGTAACTTAGTTGGTTGGGAACTAAAGTAACTTAGTTGGTTGGGAACTAAAGTAACTTAGTTGGTTGGGAACTAAACTAAATGTCTCAGAAACTGCTCTTGTGTACCTTCTGAGGTAGTTGACATGTGTAGAATAAATGAAAGTAGAGTGTTCCAGTCTGATAGATTAATTCTGTTTTTTGTCCAATGTGCTCAATAAAAGTGTTATGTGTCAGTTTGCAAACTCAATTGTTATTCACAACCTTTCTATGAACCTTCCTAGCTAGTAGTTCCATCAAGACTATGATTCATCATGTATTGTAGAAATTAATAGCAAACTATAAATCAGTTACTGGAAGTATAATTCAGCTTCCTAGCTAGTATCAATCTAGAGAGATTCAGTTTCCAACTACAGAATAGAATCCTCTGACCTTGGGTGGAACAGACATTCATAAAGAGGGAGGGATGTTCATGCAATCGTCTGGCAAGCTCATTCCATAGCCCTTTGTCCATTTGATTTCAATCAATTATTTGAATCTGAATCATTATTCCTAGATAAAACTTGAATTATTACCTTATGAGCCATGATGCCTGGTTTATGAAGCGTAGGTTGACGATTCAGCAAGACTATATCACCAGTCTGTAAATGTCTATGAACCTTCAGTGAGAAACAAGAAAGTATTGTGAGAAAAGAACTGACCAGCATGACTACAGAAATGGGGTAGGGATTCGTCCAAATCGTAAAATCTCTTCGATAGCTCTCTATAAATGTACAGGTATTTTTGAGCTGGAATCACATTAAAAGAGGACGTCCACCTTGATAATATTGATGGATTTTATTAAAAAAATTAAAAATGAGAGAAAGAAATTAGAAAAAGTTTGAGCAATATCTCATTAAAAATAGGACACTTTTGAAGTTGTCATCAGTGAAACACAATTTGGGAACACTGGAACAACATATCATGTGAGCCCCTCCCTGATTTACTCTGTACAGAAAATTTCATAAACTTTTATTTTCTCAGTTATTCTTCACAAGAGTTCTTGATTTATATTCTTATGAAATAATAATAATATTCTTGCCCCTGACATTGCGACATACTTCATAATTCTAATATACCTTCTTTGATCCAGTGTTCTGTTTATTAATGTTGCTAGGTGTAAGCAATCTCTTAGCAACCGATTCTCTCTGTGATTGGTTGTCTGCTCGTAGTCTGACCTGAGAACCATCTTCATTCTCTATCAGTAAAGCACTGAAACAAACATGAAAGAACAATATATGAATCAGTTAACATCCCTCAAAATAGCCAAGGCAATATATCATTAATGTTGCCAAGAGTTTAAAAGACTGCAAAGTAGGTAATTTAATATCAGTCATGACAATCTAGCACTTCACTGTCTTTAAATATAGTGTGAGGAGCACTGTTATGTGATTTGATCAAAATCAAGACAATTTAGTCAGTGCTCATCATTTTGATTTTACTTTTATTGTTAAGTGGTTTAGTACAGACAATCATATTGAAGATTAGGGGACTAATATTACAATGAAACAATTCATTCAACTTCAAAACTTGACTCTTGAATGTTAATTCATGACGGAAGTATTGTTAAATCTTGTTTTTCTCTCTTCTTTCTTTAAGTCACAATGAGACGTACAATGAACTCCACAAGTCTCATTCACTATCCTATTGTGACTTAACCTGCTGCGGTGCATATTCATTAATGCACTTGCAAACATGAATTATTTGTATAATATATATGCATATACAACCATCTGCCAATAAAGGTCACTTTTTGAGCCTCCCTATGGTGGCCTTTCGATACAGGTTTGACAGAACATGATCAACTATGCTTACCCTGGATGTACATCAGGTCCATTCATGACCATCTGTCTCAGCTCCTGTGCATTCCAATCAGTCACAGGTTGGGGGTATGTGAGACGCTTGGCAATGACTTGTGGGATACCTATCTCATCGGTGTTGATGTACGGATCGGGAGAGATGACTGAACGAGCCGCGTAGTTCACACGTTTGCCCATCATGTGCTTGCGGAACAGACCCTCTTTCCTCTCAAGAAGCTGATCATAACAACAGATGGAGCAAAAATTGGTAAAACACAAAGAGTTTTATTTCATCAAGTTTGGTAGCCAATTACAGATTTCATCCAAATTGTTCATCAAATAACACATGTCTACAGTTTTCACTGTAAGTTTTGTTTGCTTCGGTGAGAAAAGATTTCCCTGTCCTTTATTGAAATAAAGATTTGCAATAAGTGCAAAGGGTTGGATTGAGTACTTACCATCTATAATGAATTAAGAATTCATTCATCTTTTATTTTTTGGGATGCAAAATATTCAAGTGCTGTAATCAAACTGGGAATCTATGAATTCAGTTGATCATAACAAGAGTATCTATACCATACATGACATAAGTTATTAAATTTAGCTCAAAAATGTAAACTAACCTGTTTGATGCCTGGTGCTTTGTCAGTAGAAATCTTGTCAAGGTCGCTGTCAATGACACAGTTAACATGAGTTTGTAGCTGGGTTAGAGCATTCTGAAGCTTCTCTGGTAGAGTCTTTCCTGGGATAGTACTTAATATGCTCTAATAAAGAAAACAAAACAGGATACTGATACAGTACAAGACAGCCTTTCCACTCTGCTCTAATAAACACACGTCAGGAAACTCCTTCATCCAATACTCCATCCGCACCAATTGTTTAAACACTCCTACATTCCACGAACCATCAAGAAATGGAACTCACTACCCTTAGACATCCAAAGGACCCCAAATATTGACACACCTTCAAACTTCAAGCAACCAACTTTTTCCGCAACCAAGACTCAAGCAATAAGAACTAAACAAGCACAGTGTGCACCCCTTCATCCTCCTTGCTTGGTTCCTAACGGGACGTTGAGGAGTATACCAGAAGAAGATTTGTCCTTAGTGAATGCCACAGGAAAAACACACCCACCATTTTGGACTCTTTCAATCACAATATTACCGATACAGGAATAAACTATAAACAAACACATTCTGTGTTAGTACGAACAGCAGATCGAACATTTAGAAAACTTGCTCCCCCTTTACCTATTGGTGTAATATAGTCATTCAAAATTACCCCAAGTTGTCACTGGAAATGTTTATGAAATCAAGTTCCATCCTAAAAGATGCCATATTATCATTGAAAGGAGATGAGGAATGCTAATATCACCATTGATGAAATAATAAGATAACTTTAAGAAAGGATTACCTGATCAACATTCTCCTTATCTTTAACTGGCAGTTTAACATCAATATCCATGGCACCATTCTCTACATCATGCTGACTGGTAGATTGCCTCATAACTCGTAATAGGAGATGCAATACGTGGCAATCTTTTAGTACCTTAGATAGGTTACCAGTCTGTGGATTCTCAAAGGTCTTTTCTCCTGCTGTGGATATCTAGAAACAAAAGATATTTATGGACGCTTTAATACTCATTAATGCCTGAGATGTCAACGTCAAAGTATAGTTATCACTTATGTATTCCGATTATTACTGTTTTTGTTAGTTATATAATATGTATTTTGTATTGTTTGTAAAATATCCCATGTAACATTTCCATGTTTTTAACGTGGACAAATACAATAAAATTGAATTGAATTGAATTGAAACATACCACCTACATTACGATTCACCCTCCTCTCAAACCCTCATAGATTGGAAGGAGGTTCAAAAGGAACTTACTTGCTCCCATTCTTCTGGAAATTGAGAGTTAATCAACTCTAGGAATGCAATAAAACTCAATCTTCTCAGTAGATAGACAAGTGTCTAAACTAGATCATTTCTCATGGTCTGTTTGATTCTTTCCTAAAATTCTTTCATTTCTGAAGTTTCTTTCCCTACAATAAAATAATATGTTTGTATTAAATGCAGAATACAGTTAACTTTTTGCTAGATTGTCTTGTTACTTAATGCTGTTGAGCTAAAGATGAGGTAAGGATGGTTACATGTATTCAACAAAGACCTATTACATTTCACACTAGTGTCATAGATCATGAATGTATATTACAAAACTTGTCGCTAACCACTGACCTCCATGCAACATGTACCTGTTCAGAGAAATCCAAAAGTTGGATCACCAGATTAAAATAAAGTATCTTAGTTCCTGGGTTAGGAAATCAACAGCATCCACTGATTCAAACACACAATTAAAATGGTCAGTTATGAACAAAGAAGATGAAAATCTTACTGGTCTGAATTTGGAAGGGATGACTGGTAGCGCTTCTAAGAAGAATTGATCTATGGTTGAGTCTTCACCTCGCTTGCTGGGTAGATCAAGCACTCCAAATATATGACATAGACCTTCACCTGTTAGGAAAACACAAGGAGATTTTGTTTCATTCGTAACTAAAAGAGTACAAACATGAAGAAAAGGTGCATACAAAGTGACTCATCATCCCTTCTTTTAAATGCCTGTATACAGACTATAGTGTGTTATGCATATTACAAAAGGACAAATATCACTCTCCTACAAGGTACCTAGTTTGTAAAATAATCAAAATCATTTCCCCCCAATGCAAGGCAGCAACACTGAACAACAAAAACAACAGCAACAACCAAACTATTTCAATTACCTACCCAAATAATCTATACAAAAATTGAAACAAAAAAACATTACAAAACTTTAAAACAAAAAAAATAATGACAAAGTGTCAAATTCAAGCCTGTCATCCTGCACTTCCACTGCCAGACTTTTCTGAAATTGTCTTGATTTCACCCAGGGCTATAACACAGAAAAGGCAGGCAAATGGTTTTGTGTATGCACCAAATATATGAATGGGTTATAGGGAATAATATTTTGGACAGAGAGTGATAAAAGAAACATGAGCATGGAACTTCTATAATCATTGATTGACAGGTTGGATGACACAACGATAAGAAAAGATTTGAGAGTATACTTACCATCATTTGCCATCAGGTTCCTGAGATGTTTCCTAGCCTCATGTGGAGAAAGATAGACCATCTGCAGGCCCTGACCGGACGCACTGATCACCTTGGTGAGGATCACACTGTTATGATGAGGACGGATCTCACGTACAGGCTTCTTACATAGAGGACACTTCCTACCTCTTGATGCTACGTGCTGACGTATGAAGGATTGGATCACATGACGTCTACACTCCTCAATATGACGTGCCTCAGAAGGCTGCTCTTTCTTAAGCTCTGAAACCCGGGTGGGAATGCAAAGGATCATTTTAGAATTGGTACAATCGTTTTAGGATTTAACATGTGAAGAATGAATAATCGATGTAAAAATAGGGCTATTCTGTATGTCTTAGTTTAATAATTTGTATGAATGTTTGGGTCATTCTGAAATTAAGAGAGTAATTTGCTCTGAGACCCTGGCCTTGTTTCTTTAGAAGTTGAAAACTGACTGAACAAAAAACTGAAACAAAACTCAATATTGTTAATGATTATATATGTATTTCGAACTATGATTGTGCTTATAAATCTATAATCATTATCACTCTTGAAGGCAATTCCATGCACGATGAACAGGACACTTTGACAATGTGTATAGCCTATTGACTGTCCCGATACTTGAAGACAATTTGTTTATTGGGTCAATGTTCAGCAATAATAGTGAGAAACAGTAGCCAGTTTTCACATTTATTTTCATTTAGGGGATAAAATAAAAGATCATGGCCTGTTGCATAAAACTTACCATAGATGGTAACTACCATGGCAACAGGGCTAAACAGCCAATCAAGATCAAGGTTTCCATGGTAGTTACCATTGACGGAAAGTTACCATCAATGGTAAGTTTTGTGCAGCAAGGCCCATATATAGAACATATTTTATAGATTCATACTCCTGTACACTAATCATTCAGGCTAGCATTTGCATAGCTAGTAACTTACTAGACAATATTTCATCCACATATTCCTTGAGAGTCTCCTCCATCTGATCCGCCAATCCTTCCCCATCATCTGACTCTGATATGACTGTACTAGCAATCTCAGCAAGGTCTCCTACGCTACCAAGTAGACCATGGTCCAAGCAACGCAGCTGCTGTACCACCAGACGCAGGGTCCATCTGGGGGCTAGGAGGTGGTTACACTCTAAACAGCTACCATGTAGGAGCTAGAGAGAGAGAGAGAGATAGAAAGAGAGAGGGAGAAAGAAAGAGAGAGAGAAAAAGGGAGATAGACACAGAGAGAGGGAGAGAGGAAGAGAAAGAGAGAGGGAGATAGACAGAGAGAGGGGGAGAGAGAGAGAGAGAGAGAGAAAGAGACGGAGAAAGGGAGAGAGAGAGAGGGAGAAAGGGAGAGAGAAAGGGAGAAAGTGTCATTGTAAAAGTCAGTAATTACAGTCAATTGAATGAAGGAACTCTCCTATTCATAATAGTAATTTGAGATATGGATGGAGTTTCTACGACTGGATTTGGTAATATCGAGTTTAGAAGGAGATTAAGTGTTCGCTCAGAGACTAACTCTTCCAAACATTTTTTTAAAAATCATCCTGTTCACTACTTGATGTACTGCCTCTTATGTACTTTCTGCAGAGTGTCATAGTCTTTTGGTTTTCAACATTTATCTGAAAATGTGAAGGTTGTGGGTTTCACCCAAGGTACCACCTGTATGTCAATAAGCAACATATATATTGTATGTAAATTGCCTGCTTCTATTCACCCAGGTATTAAATGGATACCTGGTAGGATCCTAAAGACATTGCAGTTTATTTAACATTGTGAATGTTTGTGAAAGTATGACAAATCTGTGTTATGCCTTATACACCAGCTCGTAGTCTAAGATAATCACACCAGCATCTTTTTAAGATCCCAAAGACACGAGTAGCCTGTGGTGAAAGGGCTTTTTCATCTGCAGCACCTTGACTTTGGAATAATTTACCATTAAATTTGAGGATCATAACTTCTTTAGAGACCTTTAAATCCAAGCTGAAATCTTATCTTTTTAAACAATACCTGTACTTGGCACTATGACACCCATCCGAACTTTCTTGTCCAAACTTTCTCATTTTTTCTATTATTCTTGTGCGCCTCGGAATAGCATTGTCTAGATAGACGGCGCTATATAAATGCCTATTATTATTATTAATATATAATGGTATTTAATAGGTTAAAAAGTAAGCCTACCTGGCGGACAAGTGGGAAGAAAAGTGGATTGAAGACAGGAAGTGGCAAGGTCACATGACCCATGTGACCTGGACAGTGAAATTGACCCAAGCTGCATGTTCCACAAAGCTCATCTCTGTCACTTGGACCTAAAATGAGATTAACAGATTTACAGAGAATAGGCAAAATGCACCAAAATTGGTAAAAAACCTTGTAAAAATAATATTACATGATGATAAACTTTATGTAGCTCATTTCTGTCATTTGGACCTTTAAAAAAAGAATATCCTTGGAAATATTCATCTGATTCATTGATTCTGGATGAAAACAGGCCACTCTAATGGTATGTTTAAAAATATTATAAATACACAAAGTAGCATGCAACACTACTTCTATTCAGTCAAAACAAACAAAATAAACATTAGGTTAGAGTTTCACCAAGGAAAAGAAGATGTCTCTCTTTCCACAATCCCTGCGTACAAACTAAAAATATAAATACTTTGTGAATTCTCGTCTGAAGCTCCTACATTGAAGTTCTTCATTTCACCCCCCCCCCCCCCCCCCCCCCCGCATTAGAAATTTAGAAGTAATATGAGGAATTATTTCTATAACAATATAAATGTTTATAAAATACTGACAGCAATCTGAGGTATATGACACAATGGAGAGGGTAAAGCCAGCTGCTTAGAACTATCCCTAAGTGGACCAACTCCAAATCAGTCCCAATTGACCTGAATGCAGTTCATCTTGGAATTACCTTTCTGCTGACAATGTCAATGTATCGAAGTCCAAAATCAATGACCATTGGAAACAGAAGTGTATTAAGTTTGACCCTAATTGTTTGAAATAAATTTTGACCCTGTGTGAGGATTTATTTGATGAGCTTAATGAATTATATGATCAGGAACAGACCTGTTGAATGGCCCTTTACAAGTCTTTAGACTTACTGGGCATCACCATAGGTAATTCAGGTATTGTGTTAAGCCTTTAACAAAAAGATGTTGTATTGCCCTTTGCGACCGACCCCAAATCTTGAAATCTACGGTCAGCATTTTAAAAAGTTTTTTTTAACCGTTTTCTAGAAGAAAAAAATGTATTAAAGCATTCAAAACTGAGAAATATCAGCCCAAAGAGGGAGTAAACAAAGTTTAAAGAAAAAAAAAGATTTCTGACCGACCGACCCATATTTTGGCATTTGTTAGGCCTTATTGAGAATACAAGTCTAGTCCATAGACCTACCTAGTGCAGGATCATAGAGCCCTCCTAAGGTCGGGTGTCCAAGGTCATCAAACGACCTGGGGTTAGTTAACTCCTTCACACTCAGCTGCTTTAGATCCTGACTGCTGTATGTGCTGAACCTCACAGAATCAACACGTTTACTGGGAATCTCTCGCACAGACATATTCACTGGGTAATTTTCCTTTCAAACCATTTGAAATCAAGTTCTTGTATACTTCTTTGGCTGTTATTAATTGTCAGAAAATGTTGAAGACCTACACAGAAAAAAGAAGAAAGTAAAATGGGAAAATTATTTTTTTTAAATCCAGAAATATTTTATAATTTGTCTGTTTAAGCCCCAGTCCCATATAAAGCCGGACCAGCACGGACGAGCACGGACCACTCCAGACCATCCCGGACCATGGTCTGGGGTGATCCGGGATGGTCCGGGATGTTTTGTTCAAAAAATCGCAACCGCCGAAATCTCCCCGGACCCAACACGGTACCACTACGGACCGCCCCGGACCGTCCGGGCATAGCCCCGGCAGCAGTACAGATCATTCCAGACCCAGCACGGAGCCGCCACGGACCGTCCCGGACCACCCCGGTGCCAACACGGTGCCAACACGGATGACACCGGACCATCCCGGTGCCAACACGGATCATCCCGGGTTCCGGGATGATCCGTGTTGGCACCGGGATGGTCCGGGATCATCCGTAGGGGCGCCGGGGTGATCCGGGGTCAATAACTTACTCCCGGACTGCCACGGATCAACACGGACCGCCCCGGCGCCACTACGGATGACCCCGGACCCAGTACGGTGGCTACACGGATCACCCCGGATCAAACTATTGTCCCGGACCGTCCCGGACCACCCCGGCAGTTTTTGACCGTCAAAAACATCCGGGGTCGACTCCCGGACCGCCCAGGACCATCCAGGACCATCCAGGACCATCCAGGACCATCCAGGACCATCCAGGACCACCCCGGTGCCAACACGGTGTCAACACGGACCGAATCCCGGATCACCCCGGATGGGGTCCGGGATGGTCCGGGACGTATATGGGACTGTAGCTTTATACTTTAAGACAGAGTTAATGCCCCTCTGACTCTGAACAGATGACTACATCTAAATGAATGCAGTGTACACAAAAATGGCTGATATTGCATTAAGTTATCTACCGTAATGAGGACATACGGTAGATAACTTCACACATGCACCCGCCTGCCCGCAACCCACCATCGGTATGTACATGTATTGTGCAGCGGTTTGCCGTGAAACCTGCGAAAAAGTGTATACTAATATCAACGTTTATCCGAAAAATACTCCAAAAATAACAAGAAATTTGACACGAAAGTGACGAAACAGGTAATAAACATAAGTACTTTAATCTCATGATCTTTATTTGGTCATTTAATGAATATTTACTTCATTTTGGTCGTTACGGGTCAAATTTTGGATAGGTTTCTCAACAAGCGCCGAACTTAGCGCATTGAGCGCTGTTCAATGAGTTTATGCGCTCTCATTGGCCGATCTGCTTGAGTGGCTTCAAATTTAAGTGAGAGAGGGCCTACTTACATGTAACTTAAGTTCAATGGCAAAGCCAATACGTAATATTACGTCACACCACAGAGATTTTGACATGTCCTGCTTTAAACAGGTGACGCACTTCACACATAACTGACGCACACACGGCATAGCACACACATACAATAGAAAAATCAACGAACATCTCAGAATAAATTCCCAGTTTGTACATGAGAATTGTTCAAACTTTAAAAATAGTTATGGAAGACTAGTGAAAAAATCATAACAAATAGAGGGTTTGACTGAAATATCATAATTTCGGTATAAAAAAAAAAATAAAAAAAATTGCGAGCTTGCTCGTTGCACAAATATCTTATAGCATTGAGTAAATGGAAAACAGCGATAGCCGATAAGAAGGGCCCTTGTCGGCGCCAATTTAGTAAAATGAGGCTGCGATTTGCCAAGATCGGATGAACGATTTGCTAAAGCACTAAATGTAAGCTAAACTTCGTTCTAGATCTACGTGCATTGACGTCTCCCTTCATTTTGAAAAATCATCATAAAATTAGAAAATGGCAGAAAATGGCGGAACATGGCTAAATCTAGGCCCAATCAGTAAAAGTAGGCTCAAATATCTGTAAAATCAAGGAACTTTTCACCAATGAAACTCGTATTGTAATTTCCATTCGTAATAATAGATCTAGAAAGTCTAGATCTAGACTTTCTAGATCTAGATCAATATTGATTTGATTGAACAAATGATCGATTCATTAATTGTTTATCATCATATCATTTGAAAGTTTATTGTGATGCACAGGTTTTACAAAATATTGCATGAATATACTGCAGTACAGTGTTGACCGTCTTATACACAGCCGTGATAGTATTAATTCTGCGCTGCCATGTCATACGTGTGGCCTGATGATGCAAGCACACATAGGAGCATCACTATCCTGGCTGTGTAGTAAAAGCTGTGCTTTTGATTCTCAACATTTCAAACACCACTGTACAAAACTCAACTGATTTCACTCAAAATCGGTACTTTAGTGACGATCGATGACACCTAAATAGCAGTAAAATAAATTTGTTTCAACTTACTGATGTTAAAAAGAATAATTTAACAATTCAAATTGTAAGTCTACTAGTACTGTCAAACTTTTCTTGCAGCCGCATCGGCATGATTGTGTGCAGTCTATGCAATATTGTGTGGTGTGTATATTTGTGTATAGCCAGTATAGGTTTAATAATACCTGCCTAACAGCAAGTATGCAGTGCTAGAGGTCAATACGCATTATCATCGACTCTCTTAGACCAAAAGCTTCAGTCTCTCTATATCGTCGGTTGTTCCACTGAGACTACGTCTGGCTCCACTAGACCTCCGATTATAGAGACTGAACTTCGTCCTATGGGGACTGTACGTAACAAATGGGCCGGACCGCGATGAATGAGATATGCAACAAGATTTTCACTCTTTACATCCTCATAAATGATGCAATATTACAATAATATGGCCGATATTATTAAAAAATCAAAAATAACATATATATAGCTTATTTGACTAAGGATAGCCTGCTCATTTAGATCCTAAATTAATGATTAGTCTGAAAAAAACCTGTAGTAGACAAGATTCGTTGTCATCCATATTGGTAGGGTGTCAGAACGATTTTTCAATTTCCAATTTGGGATCGTTTTTCACCATTTTTGTTTGATATTTGAATAAAAAATGTAATCAGAATAATACATTTCAAATTTCAAGTCTCAACGATGTTTCTATCAAAAGATACAGCCCCTCCCAAACGCTGCAATATTCATATCATTTTGGTCAGAATCGACGAAACAGACGTACACGCAGAGTTATGTTGTTTTGCTAAATTGAGCCAAACAGCTGTATTGCGCGATATGAAATCGTATGTATATCGTACCCATGTTGCTAAACTGAATGCGTGACTTGCAGCTTGAGCCACGTTGTCTCCGCGATATTGCCATTGACTATAACGTGTATTCACTTCCGGGTTTTATTGCGTGAACGGCTAGCCATACTTTCATTCACTATGCTTTCGGTTTCATTCGTACGCGGAGAAGTTACGCGATGTAACCATGGTTTGGACTGAGCGGAGCGCACGCCCTTCTAATTAGCTGATCCACCAAATAGCGAGAAGGGTATTTTTAAACTGTTATCAGTTGTGATCCCTGGGGGCTAGCGAAAATATAAGCACATAGAATTGTTCCTTAGGACTGGGACTACTTATCGATCGGGGCGTCATATCTCAAAAGTGACAAACCTCAGAGTTAGCCAGGACACAATGTTTAAATTGCTGTTTTGAATAAGATATTTTTAGAAATTCCGGGGGCTACGCCCCTTTGGAAATATTGGAATTCACCTGCTCTTTCATATGACACCTCATTTATTGAGTATCACCTTCAGGATCACAACAGATAAAGGTTTGAATCTCGAATTGAAAAAAACAACTTTTTTTGCATGGTCGCGCAATGCACGTAGGCTGCATAGGGATGCGTGTAATCTCTATGGGAAGAATTTTAGCACACAACATCGGGTGCGTGATCAGACACCCTAACACTAGTTAGGCAAATTCATGCAAAAAAATATATTAAAAAAATTGACTTGAAAACACATCAGACAATTAGTCTGAACCGAGTCAGGAGCAAATTTGAAGAAATTATATTTTTAAATGTTGTAAAACCAAAGATATAAGAAGAAAACTGACCAAGGCAAGTATCTGTACTAAAAATCGTACATGTAAAATTGGTCGTATACATTCGACAGCTGAAAATGACGCGCACGGTTGCATTACGTGCGTTCTCGAATCCAAAATCATACTTCACACACACACTCTCGCCATACCGCGAATGAGAGTTTGCAGCGATACCAACGCAGCTTCGGAGCTCCGCAGAGCGCCATTTTAGCGGGACTCGGAAGGGTTCGCGTGGGAAGGCAGCGGCCTAGCTTTTTGCCCAAACAACGCTAGATCGGCTGCTGGCAAAATGAAAATAACTAAGATCGAGAACATCGTCGGTTTCTTAACTTTTCAGTGAGATAATTCTGAATTCTAATTGAGACTATATAATCAATTGAATCGACAAAGAAACCTCGGTAGAACTCTTATAACTATACAAAAGCTTGTTTATTTCTTCATTTGACATTTTGTTTTCGACCATTTTTTCGTGCGCGAGTCAATGCAAACTATGTATTACCAAACTTTCAACACGCAAGGAACGGGGAACACTCGCGGACCTCGTATCAAATTCATTGCAAAAAAAAAATTCAAGTGTGATTTTGAAGCAGTGTAGAATATTGGCGCTGCAATGCGCAGAAATATACTTGAAAGAAACTTAATAAATCATACCTGAATTTTCAGAAAATCGTATTTGTATTAGTGTACCTAGATGTGACTTGTTTACAACTCAGATTTTATGAAGATTTGTTGGGAAAAAATGTCAATTTTTTCAGTTTGGTGGTCATTTCTAGGCTTATATTTAAAAAGTTACTTCAGTGATGGGCCCGATGTTTCTCTTATCACACTCGCATGTTATTTCTACATAGATTAAACATAGGATGGTTAAGGGTAAGACCGGATAACATTATAAAAAAGATATATCCTTCCAACCTCCCATATCCAACTTTTGGGCTGATTATTGCCGACCCACCGCAGCAAGGCCATTCAGATTGTCGTACGCGAGCGAAGCACCCTCTAGTGCCCCATGAATGTGCCTACACTAGTCTAGATCTAAGTAAGTCCGTAAATTTCGCATTTAATAATAAGTTATCGAATTTTGATAACTGTAATTAGGAGATAGACATACCAACCTAATTTACATCTGATTTAGAAATCAGAAAATTTGATCTAGACTCTAGATCTAAATAAAGAAAATTGGGGAGAAAATGTCGTGAAGGAAAAGATGTTCATCGCTGGCTCTCTAGTCCAGTCTAAATTACCCCCACGGTACGAGATCTCTGGAGCTCTAGTAGATCTAGATCTAGACTAGTACCGTCTGTATTGGGGAATGTCAACAAATGTCAGCTTTATTAAAGAAATGACCCAAATCAGACGGTTATTTCTGTCTATAACTCTCTAGAAGATCTATTATGCAAGGTGCAAGGCTAGGTCACATAATTAATGGTGAACAGTCAGTTTATCCTGCATAAAGATGAATTGAAGGGACTAAACAAAGCAACATGCACATAGAAAATCTGTTGAGGTAGATCTAAGCCAAGATCATGATAATCATTACACTAAAGAGAAAGGGCAGATTTTTTAAATTGACAACAACAAATATGTGTAGACGGTGATTAATAAATGAAATTACCGAAAGTTTGCAAATGAAGCAGCCAAAGAGAACATATGAACCTAGTACCTGCCCACGTTCTGTTCCTTGAAACTGGCGACCAATAATAAGGAGATAGTGTCTGCAAAACGTCCAATCAAAAAGGAGAAAAAGAAAATTATGCACGTCTCGGGTGACAGGAGTATAGGCCTAGAGCTAGATTTAAATAACTTTAAAAAGTTTGAGTATAGCGTATGACATTACAGCTAAACATAACTGACCACCTGAATAAACGGAGATAAACATGGTCTGATACAGGATACCCAGCATGGTTTTAGGAAAGGGAAATCTACAACTACCAACTTGCTAGAAAGTGACCTAGAAATCATCACCAAATCAGTATTATAGGAAACTGCCCCCTACCCTAGCCCCCGCTGCGTACAGTCATGGTCCAGTGACGGTTCCATGACACATGCTCCGCCGACGATTGCTCCGCCGACATTTACTCCGCAAAACGCGACAATTGCTCCGCGACATTTGCTCCGCGACATTTGCTCCGACGTCAAATGCTCCGCCGACAGGTGCTCCGCCGACAGTTGCTCCGCCGACAGTTGCTCCGCCGACAATTGCTCCGCCGACAGATGCTCCGCCGACAATTGCTCCTCCGACAATTGCTCCGCCGACAATTGCTCCGCCGTCAATTGCTCCGCAAAACGCGACAATTGCTCCGCCGACATTTGCTCCGCCGACATTTGCTCCGCCTGAAGCGACACTTGCTCCGCCGACATTTGCTCCGCCGACATTTGCTCCGCCGACATTTGCTCCGCCGTCAATTGCTCCGCCGACAATTGCTCCGCCTGAAGCGACAATTGCTCCGGTGATATATACTCCGCCGACAATTGCTCCGACGACATTTGCTCCGCCGACAATTGCTCCGCCGACAATTGCTCCGTCGACAATTGCTCCGCCGACAATTGCTCCGCCTGAAGCGACAATTGCTCCGGTGACATTTGCTCCGCCGACAATTGCTCCGACGACATTTGCTCCGCATGAAGCGACACTTGCTCCGGTGACATTTGCTCCGACGACATTTGCTCCGCCGACAATTGCTCCGACGACATTTATGCTCCGCATGAAGCGACACTTGCTCCGGTGACATTTGCTCCGACGACATTTGCTCCGCCCAAAAAGTGTCCCATTAAATACAAATGCTACTAGTACTACGACAAATGCTTCGCCGACAATATTTTTTTTTCACGGGTTGTTTTTGTTTCTTTCTTTTTTTCTTCATTTTTTGAATGCATTTCATGACATTATAAAATGAAATGAAATGAATGAATGTTGATAATGTGGGAGGAAAAAGCAGTTGCCTAAAAGTCATTTCGAATATACTGAAATAACTTTCCATCTATCACTGTACGTCCCACATAATGTACACTAAACACTCATTACATGTCATGGGAAGTTTTTTTTTTTAAAGTAGAGCAGCAAGCCACATTCCCCAATACGCGCATACCTCATAGTTAATTTCAAACAGCTCATCAATATGTAAGACCTGAAATTACCTCAATGAAAGAAGACTAATAACATGAGAGGAAAGAAAAGAGCAAAAAAGACAACCGTTTTTTGCTATTCCCCATAATGTTTAATTTAAAAAAATAAAAAATAAAATTATAGCTCCTTACGCAAGTTCTCCGGCGAAAGATTACTCCGCTCAAAATCTGTTTCATGTATTACTCATTAGCTGATCCAAAGCTCAAGGCTATCTCTCTCTCTCTTTCTCTCTCTCCCATGCTCCTCCTTTTCCTGTTTACACCGTTTTCTTGTCTTCTTTGCTCTTTTCTTTCCTCTCATGCTATTAGTCTTCTTTCATTTCCATCACTTCTTCTCTGCTCCCCCTCTCGAGTTCTATTTCTCTCGTGAAATTGAAACGTAAAGTAATACAATCATGTAGTACATTCTTGTTTAGAATAATATTTTCAATAATATCCAGTCCATTTTCTAAAGGTTTCTTTCCTTTAGTTAAGTGTATGTAGCTTTAATATATATATGTTAGTGTGCAAAACACTCCGTTTCATTCGAGTACTTTGTTTTCACTAAATAATTTAAGGGACTCACGAAGCCATCGGAAGAAGAGCAATTGGCTTATCATGAAGAACTAACATCAAACTGCAACAAAATGATTTGTATAAATGTGAATAAGCAGAAAGGCTGCCATCTCATTTTCCCGTCTGAATGGGTTCTCTTCCTTACGTATATAAGTGCCCTTATTTTCTAAACTTTTTTTTTATATTTGTGTGTTTATTAAATTTTCAATCATATAAAAATTACATATTTACAAGTCATTGGTAATAATTAGACAAACAAAAAAAAACCAATATGTATAAGAACAACTAACAATAATGAAAGGACAAGAAAGTTATAAAAAAAAAACATTATAGTAAAAAAAAATACACTGTACACATATAAATCATAGTTTGAACTCCAGTGCATAAAGGGGAGTGAGGGGGCACAGGAATAAAAGTTAAATCAACATGAGTATCATAAGTCAAATCGCCATTTCTTAAAATGCGAAACAAGCTTGTTCCTTTTTTTCGCTGAGAAATATTCAATATCTTTTTGTTTCTTTATAAAACTCTTAAAAAGATCAACACTAATTGGTAAATCCCCCTTACTTATTTTCTAAACTTCCATGATGACCTATTACATTGTATAATGCTTTACCTAGTAAGATGCATTGATCGAGGTAATTTCAGGTATTACATATTGATGAGCTACTTGAAATTAACTAGGAGGTATGCGCGTATTGGGGAATGTGGCTTGCTGCTCTACTTTTTTTTAAAAACTTCCCACGACATGTAATGAGTGTTTAGTATACATTATATGGGACGTTCAGTGATAGATGGAAAGTTATTTCAGTATATTCGAAATGACTTTTAGGTAACTCCTTTTTCCTCCCACTTCATCAACATTCATTCATTTCATTTTATCTACATTATTTCAAGAAATGCATTCAGAAAATGAAGAAGAAAAAAAGAAACGAAAAAATAGGTGTAAAGAAAATATTGTCGGCGAAGCATTTGTCGTAGTACTAGTAGCATTTGTAGTTTATGGGACACTTTTTGGGCGGAGCAAATGTCGTCGGAGCAAATGTCGGCGGAGCAATTGTCGCTTCAGGCGGAGCAATTGTCGGCGGAGCAATTGTCGGCGGAGCATCTGTCGGCGGAGCAAATGTCGGCGGAGCAATTGTCGCTTCAGGCGGAGCAATTGTCGGCGGAGCAATTGTCGGCGGAGCAAATGTCGGCGGAGCAATTGTCGCTTCAGGCGGAGCAAATGTCGGCGGAGCAATTGTCGCTTCAGGCGGAGCAATTGTCGGCGGAGCAATTGTCGGCGGAGCAAATGTCGGCGGAGCAAGTGTCGCTTCAGGCGGAGCAAATGTCGGCGGAGCAATTGTCGCGTTTTGCGGAGCAATTGACGGCGGAGCAATTGTCGGCGGAGCAATTGTCGGCGGAGCAATTGTCGGCGGAGCATCTGTCGGCGGAGCAATTGTCGGCGGAGCAACTGTCGGCGGAGCAACTGTCGGCGGAGCAACTGTCAGCGGAGCATTTGACGTCGGAGCAAATGTCGCGGAGCAAATGTCGCGGAGCAATTGTCGCGTTTTGCGGAGTAAATGTCGGCGGAGCAATCGTCGGCGGAGCATGTGTCGGGTTACCCCAGTGACATGGTTCAGTGACAAAGCAATGGCCGTCACTGATCTCGCCTCCTGGTCAGAGGCCAACCACATGAAACCATGAAACTGAACGCCACAAAGTGTTTCGCAATGGAAGTCAATTTCTCACGAAGTCCTACGTACTGTCCTACTCCTACCCGCAATTCGCGTTGACGGTCTATAACTACAATACGTCAATACTACAAAGCTTCTCGGCATTCTGATCCAAAGTGACCTGAAATGGGAATCAAATGTTACAGATATCATCAAAATGGAAAACTTCACATGCTACGTATCTTAAAAAGGCATTGCCTTCCAGTTCGCGATTTGTTAACCATATATGATGGAAATGTTCGGCCTATTCTCGAATATGGGACACCGGTTTGGAATAGCGGCATCACCAAGAAACAATGCGAAAGCTTAGAAAAATTCCAAAAGCGAGCCCTCCGCATCATCGTTGGTGCTCGGTATTACCAGAATGTTCTTACCTGCTTTGATATGGAAACACTTGAGCAAAGGAGACATTCGCTGTGCACCTCTTTCATTGGAAAAAGTATTTCCAGGAACCAATTAAAGAACATCTTACCCCAGATTACTCAGAAAAGAGTCCTTAGACATACGTTGCCGAACAAACAGAGTGAAAAACAGCCCCATACCATCACTTGTACGCATTAACAATTCTAGTTAACAAGAAATCTACTTTTATTTATGTAATACTACCAATATTATAGTTGTATGTAATCCCGTAAGTGCAATACAAGGCAAACTATGGTTTCAATTATACTGATACACACGAAGTATGAAATCAATTTTGTATGCAATTTGTTTTTTTATACATTGTTACTCATATACCAATTTTATATTTATACTGGAGTCTAATCTTTGTATCTGTATAATAGCATCACTACATTTTCTGTACCGAAGTTAAAAATCTGTGTTTAACCATTTATTTGTAATTGTTTAAATGACTGAAATTATCTTCCATGGCCAATGTTACAGTTGTCTCCTCTTCCTCTTCCACTTCTACTTTCCCATCTCCTTTCTTCATCTCACCCTTATCCTTACTTCTCAATCCTCTTCTCCCTCTTTCTCCTTTTGCTTTTGCTTCTTATAATGGTTCTCCTTTGTTAATATAGTCTGGTTGAAATGTTATAACCTTTTCCTTAGAGTAGCTACTACCTAGAGTAATTTTTTTTTTTTTAATTCGTACAATTTTTCATATAAGTATTTTTTTTCCTTCATAACTTCGCCTATATCATTAGTAGTTTGTATAATGTGTAATGCTTGAATATTGATATCAATACATTATGACATTCTCAGATGTTATTGAATAATAACCTGTGAGTGTTTGTTTTGCGTGTCTGCTAAAGCGTGTGTATAATACTATGCTAATCTACTAGGGGACCTATGTCCTTAAGTCATAACTGACAGTAATGA